GCTATCTTAGCTACGATCAAGTCAACCACCATTGCTCAGCAGCGCCCATCACTTACTGCTTACATAAACCCACACGCTTCCGATCCTACGAAGTAGTCTTGCCTCTTGGGATCAAGGATCGTCACATCTTAGTTTAGGAGACTTTAAAAATACATCTATATTTATATTAGTTTTAATCTGTATAAAGGTTTAATAGACTTACTTAGACTGGTTCTTAGCTTATTAATCTATAATATAACCCTTATAAGTCTATTAATAACTAATAAAGATGCTATTATTAGTAGAGTTAGAGGATAAGTATGACAGCTATAAGAGGTAATAATAATCTAAGGAGTCTTTAAAAGATTAAGTAGAATCTAAAATTAAAGAGTAATATTATAAGTATATTAAATTATTATAGTAGGGCCGCTATAATAAATCTAAGCTATAATAAAGTTAATATAAAATAAAATAAAATATATAAAATAAATATAACTTACTATAAAAGTTATGTTTCTTTTAATTGTTGATAATAATAAAACATTTTTAATTTTAAGCTTCTTTAAAAGACTGATCAGTCTTATCTACTATAGCTTAAATTAATAAGATATAATATCCCTATTTATAGTTAAGAGGTGATTAAAAGTAATTCTATTTAATAATATTTAAACTTAAGTTAATATATTAAATAACATACTGTTAAAGACTAGTAATATACTAATATTAATTAGTATTATATTATAAAATTAAATAAAAAGAATAACTTATACTATAGTTTATTGCTATAAGAATAAGATGATAAGACTGAAGTTAAGAAGAGTATGCTTTCTTTATATTAAAGTGTTAGTATACAGCTTAAATAGTACTAAGTTATATTATTAGTAATAAATATAAATATATATTTATATTAAAACTTATCTTAGTATTCTCTTTTAAATTATCTCCTCTATAACTTCTTCTTAAAGTGCCTTTATTCAATTAAGAAGTATAGTTAAGACTTTAGTATAACTAAAGTCAAAATATTAAAGATATTGATAAGCTTTGTCTTTAGTACAACTATATATATATTGAGTTATAGGAACATCTTTAAGAGCAGTAGATTAAGTAAGAGTTAGGCGGATCTTTTAAGCCATACTGTACTAAACCTAATATAATTAGATATAGCAATTTTAATATATAATAAATAAATAACTTATAATATTCTAAAGGCATTCTTTTTCTTCCTTATAAAGACTTTTAGTTATAATAATAATAGTAGTCCTATCTTTAGATATATTTAGTATTTCTAGTAACCCTACTGTATAGAAGATATTTTATATAAAGACTAGATAATAAACTACTTCTTAAATGCTATAGGTATTAATACTTATAGAGATTAAAATCTTATCTTTAATAGTCCTAGCTTATTACTATTATTAATTAGTAGTAGAATAATACTAAAGATAGTTTTAAAATATATATCTATATAATATAACTTTATTAAATAGGATCTAAGATTAGTTAACAGCTTATATATAAAGATATTATAGGTTTAATTCTTTATATTTCTTATATATATTATAGATTATAAAAGTCATTATACTAAGTCTTTAGAATAAGCAACTCTTCTAAAGTAAATATCTCTCTATCTAGACCTAAAGGTAAAGTAAGATCTATAGTATCTTACTTAACAACTATAGTAGAATCACTCTAGAATCATTCCAGAATCATTCCTACCTCTTATTAATAAGGTCACACCGACTTTTATAGTGTTATCGGTAGTCTATCTCTAATCTAATCACACATGATAATCAAGGCCTACCTAATGTGTCAGGTCACCTAAATACCCATCTAGTGTGGCAGGCGACCCACCAGGTCATGTGTCAGTTGACCAAAAACCTCCAGTCAGCGTCCCGAGGTGGTCTCAGTGCTGCTGCTGTGCGCTCTGCTCTGCTCGGATGCCGAGCTTGTCCCGAGGCAACACAGCGCACACTGCTTGAGGTGGCAAGAGAAGAGAGGCCATGCTACTGGGATTGAGGCCGTCCACAATGGATCAAGGTCTGATCTACTTGTAATACTTGCAGTGCTTGTTCGAGATGAAACAATTGCTGAGGTGCCGTAACCGGCTTTTCCCTTGCAGGTGATGGTGGTATTTGACCTCGAAAGTGACTTTATGCACATGCACATGCTGCTACCGCGACCGGAGCCAGCAGCTTTAGCGGGATTTAGAGGATGATGGGGTGAGGAGAGCCCCATACGTCCAGTCACTCAACTACCTAAAATGGCCCTTTGTACCTCGAGCTCTAGGTACCTCAGCTCACACTCACTCTCTGGGTGCTGCCCTGTGCGCTGTCTCGCTGTGTGCAGCCATTGGACCGCGGGACAGGTACCACCCTCACAAGGTACCCATCCTCTCTGCCTCTTTAGGTACCTACTGGGCCAATTACTGGGGATCGCTGGAGAGGAAGGGGACAAGAAAAAAAAAAAAAAGACTCCGGAAAGCGCTAGACTAAAAATCGATCGTGCTTCCACCTGTCCGCTCGACCTCTCTCGCCCTCTCCTTGAAACTGCTACTATTTACTCTCAGCCTTGATCCATTCATCCCCTCGTCCACCACATCTCCTCTTCCCGGAAGACCTACCGCACTCCCCCTTCTCCTGCCTCAACTTTTTCCCAGCCCGTTCGCATCGCCTACCTGCCACAATGTTTGCCGCTGCTAGAATCCAGAGGCGCGCCTTTTCGGCCTCGGCCAGAGATGTAAGCAAAGACACCAGTCCAACGCCGCATGCCTTCTGTCCATCTGTGGCATCATCTAGCGCCCTGCCTATCAAGCTCGCCTGCTGACCTGTGACCTCTTCTCCCTCGTACAGCTCTCCAAGGTCACCGTTCTCGGTGCCGCCGGTGGCATTGGCCAGCCTCTCTCCCTCCTCCTCAAGCTCAACCCCAGAGTCTCCGAGCTCGCCCTCTATGATATCCGCGGTGGCCCTGGTACGTGCGACTTGTTCTATAATACCCAATTTTCTTATCTCTCTCGTCATGGCCCTCCCCTCTCGCATGGCCAATGGCAATCAATCTTGGGATGCCGGTCCTGTCAAGGGGCGCTTCTGGTGATCCCCGAGATGAGCCTCTTCTCTCTTGCCAAGCCGGCGACGAAAAAAAAGTCGCGCAATTGTTCCTTCAACCAAGCTCCAGACCAGCAGCAGCAAAAGACTAACACACAACTCTCTACCAGGTGTCGCCGCCGACATCTCCCACATCAACACCAAGTCGACCGTCACGGGCTACGACCCGACCCCGACCGGCCTCAGCGCCGCCCTCAAGGGCTCCGACATCGTGCTGATCCCCGCCGGCGTCCCCCGCAAGCCCGGCATGACCCGCGACGACCTGTTCAACACCAACGCCTCCATCGTCCGCGACCTGGCCAAGGCCTGCGCCGAGTCGTGCCCCGAGGCCAACATCCTCGTCATCTCCAACCCCGTCAACTCGACCGTGCCCATCTGCGCCGAGGTCTTCAAGGCCCGCGGCGTCTACAACCCCAAGCGCCTCTTCGGCGTCACCACCCTCGACGTCGTCCGCGCCAGCCGCTTCGCCTCCCAGATCAAGAAGACGGACCCGGCCGACGAGAACATCCCCGTCGTCGGCGGCCACTCGGGCGTCACCATCGTCCCCCTCTTCAGCCAGACCAGCCACCCGGACCTGTCGGCCGACGCCGAGCTCGTCCACCGCGTCCAGTTCGGCGGCGACGAGGTCGTCAAGGCCAAGGACGGCGCCGGCAGCGCCACCCTGTCCATGGCCATGGCCGGCGCCCGCTTCGCCGAGTCCCTGCTGCGCGCCTCCCAGGGCGAGAAGGGCGTCGTCGAGCCCACCTTTGTCGACAGCCCCCTCTACAAGGACCAGGGCATCGAGTTCTTCTCCTCCAAGGTCGAGCTCGGCCCCAACGGCGTCGAGAAGATCCTGCCCGTCGGCAAGATCGATGCCAACGAGCAGAAGCTGCTCGACGCCTGCATGGGCGACCTCAAGAAGAACATTGAGAAGGGCGTCGCCTTTGTCGCCCAGAACCCCGGCAAATAAGTCTAGACGCTCTCAGCAGTAGGAGTTGGAGGCAAAAGGCAAGGAAGGGTCAAAGGGCAAGATGCTTGTATAAATTCCGGGCCAAGCGAGACTCGTGTAAAAAGCAGGCTTTGTCAACAATAGTAGATCTTCTTGGAGGAGAGAGCACGGGCGGATGAGAGGCATGACTACTGCTCTTCAGTATCTGCTTCTTCCTGCTCGAGGCTTATTATCCTCGTGTGCAATAAACAAAACATCTGGAACTGTTTCGCCTCCCATACTATATCTATGATCAATTCGCGAGACAAGAAAATCAGATTTGTTTCTTTGTTTTGAATGCCTAGGTTGTGTAGTAGTATCACCACGTCTATGAACCAGGGTATTTCAAAAGAGATACGTAATCGTACACTACTGTATCAAAAGAGGTCATATTGACCGCTTCCCTTCTCTCCGTTTTCTCCAAACATCTAATACCCCTCGTCTATTTCTTTCTCTCGTTCTCTCTCTCTCTACACGCCGCGTCACTCACCACGAGTCCCTCGCTCGCTCAGGTCCGGCCCTCCCGCCAGGCCTGCAGCTTCTGCCGCCGCTCCTCGACCTTCCTCTCAAACTCGGCCACCTTCTCGAGCCGCTTCCTCTCCTCCTCCTCGTCTTTCACCTTCTGCTCCTCTGCCTTGCGCGCCGCCTCGCGCTGCAGCTGGTCGGGCCGCCGCTCGGCGATGTCGCGCGGCCGGAAGTCGGAGAAGAGGCGCTTGAGCACGACCTCGATGACGTAGCACGACGCGTAGTCGATGACCATGACGGCCGTCATGGTCGTCTTGAACTCGGGCTTGAAGGGCACGAGCTTCATCTGCTCGTTGAGCTCCGGGATGAGCTCGGTCGAGCAGGCGAACGCGATGCCCGTCACGCCCAGGATGCCCCAGTACATGCCCCGGTTCTCCGACAGGGATTCGCGGAAGGGCCGCCCCTGGTAGTTGACGGCAAAGGTGCTGATCTGCTGGATCAGCTGCAGCAGGTAGACGCCGCTGTTGAGGAGCGACGGCTTGAACTCGGCCTCCAGGTCGACCATCCCAGAGCGTCTGTCCAGAGAAAAGAAATGATGTCAGTCGTCAAAGACATGGGGTGTGCAGAGTGTTCAGCAAGGAGATAGACTTACGGTTCAAGCTGATCGCAATACCGTGCGATGTAGATGAGTGTGGAAATGTGGACAGCAAACTGGCCCAGAATCGACCCAATGATGTAAAAGTTGAAGATGTTGGGCTGCGGCCTCTCCTTGGAAAGACCCTCGACTGACCGTGCCCGCGAGATAGATAGGAAGCAGACGCTCATCAACATACCGCTGATCGTGTACTGCCCGTCGCCAAACTTGATTCCTTCCAGGTAGAGGACACTGAGACTGTATGCCGAGATAAGACAGTTGAGAGCGAGAATCTTGTACATCTGGATAGTGGCAACCAGCGTGCATCGACCCTGGCGGATGATGTTGGGGATGGCAATGACATTACGGAGCTTGCTGGTGAAGGGTGCGGCCACGGACGCGTCGCCCAGCTTCAGCGACGGAGGCTCGTCGTCGCCCAGCTCGGCGTCCATCATCGAAGCCGTGAACTTGTCGGCAAAGCTGGCTGCCTTTTGGGCTGCCTGTGCTTGCCGCGCCTGCTGCGGGTCCTGGTTCAGTAGTTGTTGGGCGCCAGGAGACGTGACCGTCTCAATGGCAGAGCCGTGGATCCGGGCGTACTCTTCCGGAGAAATGCCCTTCTTCTGCGCCTCCCGCTCGATTGCTTTCTGGTAGTGGGGGTTGGAGGGACCAGGCGGGTAGAGGTGGGCGATGATGACCGGGACAGGCGGAGTGGCTCCTCCCCAACGCTTCATGACATCGACCTGCTTCTGGTAGAGTTCCTTCATCTTGGTGTTTCGAGCGTGGTCGGCGATACGGGTGAGGTCATCTTGGGTGCCATTCAGAAGCGCGACACCAATGTGGGCCTGCTTGAGCGCTCCGACATCGTTGGTGCCGTCACCAGCCATCAGCGTGTAGTAACCCATGTCCTTGAGACCCAACAGGATGTCCTCCTTCTGCTTAGGCGAGACACGAGCATAGACCCACGTGTACCGGAGCAGCTGCTTCCAGGCGACTTGGTCCCTAAGCTGCGAAAGCGCGTATCCAGTAACACAGATATCCTTGGATCGCAGGATCTCAGGATCGATAGGCTTGGTGGAGTCAACCTCGATGTGAACCTTGTCATCCACGCTGTGCCAGACGAGCTTGTGATCACCATTGCCGTGCTCCGGTACATCCAGGATCAGAACTTCGCGATCGACAATCTCCACCTCTCTAGCAACATGGACAGCAGTCAGAGGGTTATCGCCAGTGATCATGACAACACGGTGGCTGCTCTCGTTGAGCATCTGAACAGCCTGCTTGGCATCATCCTTCAGGGGGCAGTGCAGAACAAGGAAGCCGGCAAATGTCAGACCAGCCTCGACATTCTCCCGCTTCAAGTCGTTGATCTTTCCGGATCCAAGTTCCTTATCAGTCGACAGTTGCTTGTAGGCCAGGGCCAGGACGCGAGAACCTCTCCTAGTGAAGTACTTGAACGTCTCCTCATAATCAGCGGGCACTGTGACCAACATCTTCATGATAGTCTCGGGGGCACCCTTGACACCGACGAAAGTGCCCTGGATCTTGTCTCCCGTCTTGGGATCCTTGCCGTGGACTGTAGCGACAGAGCTCTGCCTCTTGAGCGCGGACGAGAATTGGAAGCGGCGCTTGATCTGGACAGAGCCGGTAGGTCCACCCGCAGCCATGGTCGCGGGCTTGGTGGTGAGAATGTCATTCTTGCCAAGACCCCATCCCAGAGCCGCCAAGGTCGCCTTCTCCATAGGGTCTCCAACGATGTCTCCCTCATCCAGCTTGACGAGCGCATGCGCAGTGGCCAGGACCAGTGTTGTCGCCAGTGCGGCGTCCTTGACGGGCGTCATGTGGCTGTGGGCACCATCGGTCTCGCGCGGCGTGTCGGTTCCAGTGTGGCCCAGACCAAGTCCAGCAATGCCCTCAACAACCAGATCCTCGCCGGTCAGAGTGCCGGTCTTATCAAAGCAGGCGACATCAATGCGGCCACCGAAGGGAATACGGAAGGGCTCGGTGCAAAAGATGGCGAACTTGGCGAGAGCTGCCAGACTGGTGTTGACAGCCAAGCTCAGTTCCATGGGCAGCTCGGGGGGCACGACACTAGTGACGATGAGGACACAGTCGAGGAGCAGCTTGGAGCGCTTTCGGTCGCGCCTGACACCCTCGTCCCAGACATACCATGAGGCGGCCAGGGCGAAGATGAGGAGGAACAAGATGAACAAGAGGGCCTCGAAGTTATTGGCCGACACACGCTCGGTCGAGTAGATCATGGTCCTGACGAGACTGCCCTGGGAGGTCTCGAATCCCGTTTTCATGACAATGGCCATCGCGCCGCGATCCGGAGGTGCAGGCACGCCAGACGCCAGCTTTTGCGTATTTCCATCGCTGTTGCCGTGAGTGATCTGCAGAACCTTTGTGCCACCCCAGAGGAAGGCATTCTTGTCAAGTCCTTCGGGCTCGATGAGGGCATCGCCCGGACGCAGCTGGATCGAGTCCTTCAGCAGGGGAGTGCTCTCGCCCGAGAGCATGGCTTCGTTGACAATGGCAGTACCCTCGACCAGGAGCATGTCGCAAGCGACGCCGCTGTCTTCCTTTGTGCGCGAAACGGAGACGAGGTCACCGGGCAGGAGCTTGTCGCTCTGGATCTCGGTCCACTTGCCCAGGCGATACACCCACACGTCGTACGGCTTGATGCTCATGCCTCTGAACTCATTGAGGGTGCGCTGACGTTGCCAGACGACAGTGCTCTCAAAGGCGACAAGCATGAAGAGGGTGAAGAGCGAGTAGTACCAGTATTCGTCGAGCAGCCAGAGTCCGACACAGAAGATCTGGAAGACGAAGAATGGGGCCACGGCGTGCTCGCGGAATAGCTCGCCAAAGGTCGGGACGGGAATGTCAAAGGTGTTGGTGCCATAGTACTGCTCGAGGCGCGTGAGCTCGGCGGCGGTAGAGATGCCCTTGGCGAGCTGGAACTTTTGCAGAGTGGGCTTGGGTTCGCGGTCGATCTCGAAGGTCAAGGGTCGGAAGGACTGAGCGGCAGGGTCGAACAGGAAGCGGCGCTTCTGGAAGAGGAACGAGGTGACATTGTCGTTGCCAACCTAGAAAGAAACGTGTCAGTTACTGTACCCCAAACAGACTATGATCCCCAGAGGAGAGGGCATGGTAGAGGTACCTTTTCGGTCACGAGCTTGCAGATATCGGCGGCGCCTGCGTTGGCAGCGGGGATGATCTTGATGAGCTGGGCGCTCTGGACAGACTTGGCGGCTCTGGCAGTGAAGAGGCCCTTGAGATCGACGCTCCAGTTGGTGCTCAGCCAGACCAAGCTCTGGACGGTGATGATGGTTCCGACCCAGACGAAGGTCCACTCGGGAGCGTGGATGTACTTGTCGTAGAGTTCGGGGGTGAGGTAGTAGCGGAGGAAGACGGGCCATACTATGGCAAAGGGCCAGACGTAGGCGTGGTAGTACCAGGGCAGCGGCGTGAGCAGGTCGGCCGACTTGACCTGCGAGCTGTCCACCAGGGGCGCCATCGCGGCGGGATGCGCGGCGGCGGGAGCGGGCCAAGGAGGGAGTACACAGAAGGGGTGTGCGCCGTGAGAGATCGAGTTGACTACCGCCGCTGGCTGTGGTAGTTCATTTGATTCCCGGGACCGGATGAACGTGCGTCTCTCGGAGTCGGGATCGGAGCGGGACACTGGCAATCGCGGGAGGAAGGGAGGGAAAAGAAGCGAGAAAGAGAGAGAGAGAGAGAGAGAGAGAGAGAAGGAAGTTGGGATGATTGGAGATTAATGCAACGTGGTGTACGTACAAGTAGATAAAGTGGTGGAGTTTTGCGTCGATTGCAAGCTCGGGGTTTCTTTAAGGTTAGCTTGGTTGCAAGTGATATCTGTACACTTTTTTTTTTCTCTCTCTTCTCCATGCGGCGTGTGTGTCGCCTCCCACTCTTGATGTTCTCGCATGTTCTGAAGAGTGCTGCTAGCTGGGTTTAGGCAGGTACCAACACACCGACACAGAGGGAACAGTGGGTGGATGTGCCTGTGAGCCTGCTGGAGGCCCACGCTAGAGTCCGATTGGGTGTGGTAGGAGCTGGTGGCGGGGGATACATTCATGTACGTAGTGTACCTATACCTTTCATAAGTACCTCCAATCCATCAACATCAACTGCAGGCAGGCAAAGCTGACGATATCAACTTCACTCCCTCATTCATCCTTGGAGTGCAGACTCTCAAGCAAACAGCCTTGCTCATTTTCTTCCTTTCTTCCTTTCTTACACTCATATCACCGCTCTTTGCTTCTCTTTTGTCTGGCCGTCCCTTTCTCCCAACGTCAACCCTTCTTCATCCCATACTTCACACCCTACATCCAACTACACATCTCACACACCCAAGCAACAAATCGACAATGGAGAACGGCACCACCCCGGTAACAGGCCTGCCAGACCTCGAAGCCCACCTAGACGCCCTCCTCCAGGACCCGGCCCTCGCCGCCGACGCAAAGCTCTTCGACCACGTCGAGCTGCAGCTGACCGAGGCCAACATCCCGCCCCTCATCCCGGCCCTGCTCCCCAAGATCACAGGCGTCCTCAAGCAGTACGCCCAGGACCCGCAGGCCCTGGCCTCCCTGGCGATCAAGCTCCTGGGCCCCGTCTCCTTCACCCAGGTCATGGCCCTCGCCTCCGTCGAGTCGCTCGTCCAGGCCCTGCGGTCCCCGGCCCCCTCGGCCAACATCCTCGCCATGACCGTCCTGCACAAGGCCGCCGCGAGCCCCTCGGACGCCGCCATCCTCTCCAGCATGGCCGAACTCGTCGCTGCCTTCCTGACGCGATGGCTCGCCGCCCCGCAGGTCGAGGTCGGCGAGAAGGGCAGCCGCGTCCTCGGCGACCTGCTCGACGTTGACTGCCCCCTGCCCCCGCCGCCCGTCGCCATGACCAACGGCGACGCCGGGTCGGCCTCGGCGCACATGCAGCTCGTCCTCCGCAAGGCGCCCGGCCAGGGCATGCTCTGGCGCCGCATCTTCCAGGACCGCCAGGTCTACGCCCTGATCCCCTCGCTCTGCACGGGCCGGCACCCCGAGGTCTCGAGCAGCGCGCACCAAGCCACCCTGGCCCAGGGCCGCCTGCTGCGCGTCCTGCCGCGCCTCGCCGCCCTCGACTTTGCCGCTGTCGGCCGGCCGTCCCCCGTCGAGGCCGCCGCGGACAGCAGTCTGCTGCATTTCGGCGCCCTGCAGATGGTCGACAAGAGCGACATGCTCATGCACCTCAGCCTCGTCGACTTTTACGAGACGCTCGTCAGCGTCTTGAGAGTCACCGATCGCACCCCGGCCAAGGTGGAGGCGCTCAGGGCGTTGCTCAGGGACGCTCTGCGGGAGGACGAGGTGTTGAAGGAGGCATTGTCGTCCTTGCCAGAGAGGACGGTGCCGGAGGAGGCGGATGCGCTGAGGGCTTGGCTGAGCGATATCATGCCCGGAGTCGCCATACGGGTGGGTGGCTGGACAGGCTGAGAGCGTCGGACGGCAAAGATACGGAACAAAAAGAGAAAGAGAGGCGCGGGGGTGACATTGTAACCAGTGTTGACCTAGACCTTTGATGATACCCAAATGCATACAAACAATGATCAGACATATCTTGTCAGAGTGTTCAACAGAAGCTCAAAACGTGCCAACATTGTCATTTATACAATTCCAACCTAATTCACTCTACTCTATTGAACCTCAGACTCCCTCCCCCATATGGGACACACCCAGACAGGATCGCCATGTTCGATCCGCCAGATAGCCCACCTGGCCGATTTGCTACAACAGATAGCAGAGGCCAAATATTTTTTTGATAAAAGTACAGTAATGAAACTTATTGGTATGCACTAGCCTTTCCCTTCCTTCTCATCGTCTCTAAAAAGGCCAAAAGGTGGCATGATATCGGAGCTCAGCGCCCCATAAACTCTGTGCTCGCGTCGCCTGCCTCATCGACGCCCGTCGACGTTCCCTCTGCGCTCAAAACGCTGTCTCGGCGGTTCCCTTCTCCCTTTGACACGGCAGAACTAGCCATCCCTTCGATCCCGAGGCCGACTTCGCCGACCCGCCTCAACACGAGCAACAGGGCGCCCCGGAGGTCGCCACTCAGCTCTTTGCCCAGAAGCTCAACAACGAGCGGGTAGAAGGACTTGACGTGCGCAGAGAAGGCGTTCTCAGGGAAGGCCGCGTAGCCCTCGAGGACATCGACAACCACAGGCCTCCAGGCGACAATGTTTCTGTGCTGGCTCTCTTCCTCAAGAGAGATGTAGCCCTTGATGATGTCCTTGCACAGCGGCACCAGCGCGTTCTCCACATCCGGCTTGCTCTCTTGGCGCTCGGGTGCCTGGTCCGCAAACATCTTGAACAAGATGGCAACATAGGTCGCGGCAGACCCCGACTCTTGCTTGAGCAGGTTCGGCGGCTGCTTCATGAAGCCCTCCCTCCAGAGGCGCATACGGAGGTCTTTGTCGTTGTTGAAGCGCCGGGCAAAGAGGAATGACTTCTTGAGCAGCGCCATCAGTCGCAGGAGTTCAGGCGAGGGTATCTTGGCATACACAGCCTCGTTGCTGAAGAGTTCGTTGACCGTCTCAATCATGAGCAGCTGCAAGACGCAGCGCGAGATGATGCGGTTGAAGAAGCGTCGCCGGGCAGCAGTCACAACCACAGGTTGCTGTTGCAAATTCGTCGAGGGTTTGTAGTCCTCCAGCTGCGGCGACGGCGGCGGATGAGCGGAACCTGCCGTGGGTGCTTGTATGCTGTCAACATCAGAGGAGGATATCGGCGGGCTCGCCACTTCAGATTCATGAAGTTGGCCGTTTGTTTCCGTGCCGTTGATCTTCAATGACTTCTCATCGACTTGGGCCGTCTCCAAACCTGGACTAAGGGGGCCACCTCCGCTGAAGTCGAGACCGTTGGGTGGCGGTGAAAGAGAAGCAGTCGAGTTGATGGTAGACGCCGAGAAAAGCTGGTACGCAGTTGTCCTCTCGAACAGTTCGCAGAATGCGCCAACGATCTTGGCCCAGTGCTCCGGCGTGAACTTGTTGACGTTCTGGAGGATGAGCTGCTGCAGGCAGTTGCTGCCGATACGAGCGATCGTGTCGTTTTCCTGGCAGATGCACAAAGCGAGTAGCTCCAAGAAGCGATCCAGCATGTACTCGAGGGAATCAAAGTAGTGCGTGAACAATGTGATCATGTTGCGAAGAGCTTGAATCATGGTGGTGGATAGCCACACCGATAGTTCCTCGTGACTGAGAACGTTGGACATCTCTGGTCTTGATCGCAGAACCATGAAGATGGGGTAGAGCTGCTGGCGCCACAGGATGTCCCAAAAGTCTGAGGGGAAGTCGCCCCCATAGCGCAGGAGCGCCTCGAAGAAGTAGTTCAAGGCATTCGATCGGACTTCCAGGTCTTCGCCCGTCATGAGCACATCGTGGAAGGCAAACAGTACCGGGAACCAGAAAGCCTCTTCAACAGAGGTCCTGTTCTGTTGGTTCGTGACCTTGGTGCCGGCCTCATCATCGCCCGCCTGAGGGGCCGATCTCTGCGACAGCGGGCATTCCGGAGTCTTGAGCATACGAGGAATGATCGACTTCAGGGTTTCCATGGCCTGCAGGCTCTTCTTCTGGAATCTCATATTCTTCGAAAATTCAGTCAGACAGACGATGAGATCGGTAAAGGCGCCTTGAGCGATGACCACGCCGAAGCGAGTCTTGTACACCTGGGTGACGTTCTCATAAGCCATGTTGACGATGCTTTCAGAGGGATCCCTGGCGGCCACGGTGAAGACGCCAAACATTGTCCGCCAACCCGAGCGGATGTTCTCTCCACGGGCCTGAATCATCTGGATCAGACAGCGCAGAGCCATGTCTTTGACATGGATGTTGTTGGAGTTTGACATAACGTGCTCGAAAGGCTTCAGGAAATCCTTCTGGAACTTGAAACCCGGCAGCTCCTCTATCTCCATGAATCTCATGGAAAGCTGACGCAGTGAGTCCAATGCAAAGAAGACAATGGCCTCGTTGGCGTTGCAGCCAACCTGGTTGAAGTGATTTCCTAGCACGTCCCAGATCGACGTCCATTCGAAACGGACTCTTGTCATGTTGTAGTAACTGATCTCCACGATCTTTTGGAGACTGTACATCCGAGGTTGGTCGTTAGAACCGGAGACCTTGATCTCGTCCCAACTAACCTCTGTCAACGCACGGGCGAAATGAACAATAGCCTCTCCATTGAGATGGGCCGTGTTTGTGAATATTCGGTCCATGCTCTTGACAGTCTCATCAGATGTCAGCTCAAACGCGATCTCTGACGAGGAGAAGGCCTGAGATGCGGTGTTGGCCCGTGGCCTGTGCCGCCGTTGTGTCGACCTGCGCGAGTCGCCGGTGTTTTCTCGCGTAGGCGGCATGAAGCGAGCTTTCGAAACGTCCGGGACAGTGTTGGCATCTACGCCGCTGGCCATGAGTTGCAGTCGTTCGAGCTGGCTGACGCACATGAGTATGTCCTTCCACGATTGCCTAAGGTGGTTGCCCTCGGTCTGGCCGAGCTCGAGAAGCACCTTCAAGGCTTCGACATTCTTGGCGAGTATCTCTTGCGAGTTGTTGAGGTTGGCGGTGTTCTTCAGCGCTGACATGAATGCCTCTCGTGGAGTCGGAAGTTCAAAGAAGCAGGCAATTTTGGTTGCCAACTTCATGCCTTCAAGGCATAACTTGATGACTTCAATATTGTGTGCCTTCTGCATTTGGCTGGACAGAGCGGAGAAGAAGGACATCCAAGCCACATCAAACATCGGCCCCACGTGTCTGAAGGAGGTGGCAGGGATGAAGCGAGATCCCGCCTTCTCAGCGTTTCTCTTCTGACTTCTGAAGAGATCTTTGAAGAGCTGCTCAGATCGAAGCGAAATCTCCTCGGACTGCTGTACGTACGCCTCTCGCTGCAAGTCCCGGCCCACGTTGGAGAAGGCCTGCCCGAGCCCAGCCGCCAAGCCTGTGGACTGTTGAGGGGCGCCGGCGGCGGCAGCAGCGTCGCGCTCGCTCTTCAAGACGATCTCATTGCCAGCAATCTCATCGTAGATGCTAAGAAGATACTCGTCGGGAAGATCAGCAGAATCGTTGATGCCTCTGTTGTTCTTGATGAAGTCCTCCTTGGTCATTCTCCTCGCCACTTTGCTGCTGTGCAGATCGGTGTTCAGCAAAATGACCGAATACGCGAGCACGTATGCGGTGTCTGCATTGGCAAAGGCATTCGGGTTGCCTGTTACGTAACGATTGGCGAACTTCAACATGAAGCGGTCAATCTTTTGAGCCTCTCCTGGGAGTCGGAAAGATTGGAGAAATTGGCGGAGAGCGTCCACGAACCGTCTCTTGGTGAAGTCCATCGTATCGACAAAGGCATGCATGATCTCAATGTTTTTGGGCTCCCCCTCACCCAGGTATTCTCCGATCTGAGCTTTGTCGAGGCGGTCTTCAGCGAGGAGAAAGCGGGCAATATCCTGGGGACTGTCGCTGCGGATGAAGCCCTCTTTGATGAGGAGCGGAACACCTCGCTTCGGTTTGAAGTTGAACACCTTGATAGCGTTGGCCATGGCCGTTTTCCTTGCCTTCTCTTTCTCTAGTTGCTCAGGATCGTCATCCACAACTGGCGTTGATGGTGGCAGCGGCGTGTCCATGCGAGACACGCTGTCGCTGGCGGACGGATCGATAGATTCCCTCACATCATCTTGTGACGTGCGCTTCTCCTCGTCGGAAGGAAGGTTGCCGTTGTCCATCCGTCCTGGCTGAGACCAGTTCACCATGGACCGTAGCGTTTCCACGAGGCTGTCCAGAGCCAGGCGCTTCAGAGCATATTCGCGAGGGTACTCGAGCTCATGCTCGTGATGAGGGACGATCTGGGTCACGGTGAGAGAGGGTGGCAAGGTGCCCTTGATCTGCCAGTCCGAGCCACTGCCTGCTCTAGGGTTCCTCTCCTCATATGCCCTCTCATGCTCGACCGTGATGGCGACGGGAGCAATGGCAAAACGAGACAAGTCCTCAATGATGGTCTGAAAGATGTTGTCGACCTTGCCATCGCAGTCATAGTTGAGGTATGTCTCTACCAAGGCGCGCGGATCTCCACAGAAACGAAGCAATATGTTGACGACATAGAGCTTCTGGGTCAGCGGCGCATTCCGCCTCGCCAAGAGGGCAAGATAGATCTCGTTCAAGAACACTTCTATCTCTTTCTGTACGTACCCATTTAGCTACATGTCATTTACCAGAGACGAACGTGAGAAGGAACCATACCTTGAAAGGTGCTCTCATGAACTTGAGCATGAGCCAAAAGATGTCACAGCAAACTTCGAAAACCTTGTCAACGGAGCTGGCACCGTTGCGAGTGATGCTGAGACATAGATAGAACTTGATCGCCTGCAGGAATGTCGTGGGTTCGTTGCTCTTTGTGTTGGTAATGGTGCATAGGGGTGATGTGAATACGGCGATATTGTTGTTGAGCAGGGTGTGGATCAGATGAAGGGATATCAACTTGGACCGCATAGGCTGACCTCGCAGATCGTAGAGCTGTTCTTGCGGCAACACCTTCGTGGAAAGGTTGCAGAAAGAGCGGAAGACAAGGTACGCATCTCGTATGTAGACCTCATCCTCGGCATCAAGCGACTCGGGTGAGTCTTCGGAGACGCTCTCGGCGACCGTGTGTTCAGAGATGGATCTGGCAGGGGCCCGTTGCGCCGGCTTGAGCTGAGTAACCATGGTTGGGCCGTCTCCCATGTTCGAGTCGTCGAAGCTCTTCCGATGCTCAAGATCCTTGAGAGTCAACTTTACGCCGGAATCAGAGGGGGCCTCGGAAGCACCGTCGGGAGAGTCATCGCCATTGGCACCCTCAAGGCCGTTTGTGGACTCGTTCTGCTCGAAAGTGACATTGCTGGCGCTGTGCTTGAGCTTGGACAGGTTCATCCGGGCTTCCTTCATATGTAACCTCGTCTTGACCCTCTCGAAGACTGTGCCGACCATCTGCGTCAGGGTGCCTTGAGCCACCTGCTGGTTTCCCGTATTCCTAGACAGGAGAAAGACATTGTAGACCTGGCGCACAGCCTTGAGCAGACCCGCGCCGTGCACAACAATCTTGTCGTTAAGGACGGCGGCCAGCAGCGACTTGACGATCTGCAGCTGGATCTCGACTGGGGTGGTCTCGCCCTGGAAGCAGTCGCAAATGGTATCTATGGCCCTTTCTATAAGGGGCGCTCGTTCGGGGCTCTCGGCATCAGGTTCAGGGGCGGGAGCGGAGGCGGGTACGGAGAAGTAGGAGTAGGATATAAGCTTGCCGATGCAGTCGAGGGCGGTGGTGGAGAGCTGGATGCTGCCTGATTTGGTAGCGAGTCGAAGGGGCGCAAAGACAAGCTCCGGGTCGGGTAGCTCGGGATCATGCTCTTTGATGGCTGCAAGGGCTTGCTGGACGGACTCGGAGAGGTTCTTGTTCCTGTGGGCATCCTTGGACGCGGCGATGGCATCCAAGGAGGAGACCACGAACTTGATGGAGCTCATGGCGGGTTAGAGACGAGACTCTGGGCGAGCCATTCGCGGTTCGAGAGGAGAGGAGGGAACAGTCGGTGTATCCGCGCACGGGTCGGCGCGAAGCTCTGCCAAGATGCCAAGCGGGCTGGTTGGGCAGCGCTGGCTGTCCTCGTTGTTGTCGCAGTGGTGGAAGGAATGTCGGTTTACGGATGGGTTCAATGTCTCGCAGTGACGTGGGCGGGAATAGATGGGTATCGTGGACCGAGTGTCCTAAGGAGTCGTAGCTCTCATGCTGTTCCCAGGCAGAGATATGCGAAAAAGTGGCAGTGGCCCAATTGGAACCCGGACTGGTCAGAAGGAGGAAGCAGGAGGATCGCAGAAGCCTTCAGTTGGCGGACAAGTCAGGCAGTCAGATAATTGAGCAGCTGAAGTTGCCCATCTACGTTGCCTTTGAGATGCTTGGTACCAAGAGCAATAGTGTAATCTGGACACAAGGGGGGCTGCCCATAGGCACTTGCCAAAATTGGCGTGGTTTTGAGGTACATCCAGATGTATGTGGAGTACTGCAAATCCCAGGTACCCCAGGGGTAAACTCTGGGCTCAGGGCCCTGAAAGGAGGGACCTGCGAAGTTACGGTGGAGCTCTTGGGCTTCCCGGGAGCGCGTTCCCAGGTCGAATTCGGTGCATTGTTGCACGCGTGTACTCCGTACAGCGTCTTTCTTTCTTCCCCTGAACCCGAATCATCCAACCCCCTGTACAGTGCCAAAAGGGTCAGATCCTCCCCACCTTAATTTTCCAGAACCCTTACCAGTAGTTACAAGTACAAGTAGTTACAAGGCGTGCGGCGTGCGTCTCCATTATCCATCTCTGTCTAGGTGGTTCTAGGAAAGGTATGCTTGGGGATGATGGTGCCAACGCTGGCTGTCCTGTGCCTGAGGCCAGGACATTCAATATCAGATAGGAGAAACCGATAAGACCAGAACAGCTGGGACATCTGGAGGATATCGAGGTTGAAATCACCAATCAATCCCCATTGAAGGTCCACATCCGATTCGAACTGTCCTCCTCCCAGGCTGTTTGGTTGGACTCGTCATATATCTCCATGGAGACTCTGTCGAACTGCCATCTTACTGCTGAACAGTAGCACCATCCAAGTGAATGTCTTTGTCCTCATCCTCATCCTCATCTTCATCCTGCTAAAATACTCAGACATCTGTGCGCAAGAGACACGACACAGCCTCGAGAATGTGTGTCTGTTCCAGCTTGTCACACCTGCTTTGCTTTCCTGGGCTGAGGCACCCTGCCGTGACCAATGCCAGGCTCGGTGCTTTTATACAAAATACTCGGGCACAATAAGACCGCTTTCCTATGAGTCGCGGGAACTTGAGCGATCCCGGCGCCACCAAAAATGTCGCGCTGACCCAGTCCATGCAGCAATGAATGGGCAATTGGCACATCATTAAAAGGGAAAGGCAGGCAGTTTTCGGCGCAGGCTGGGTTTTGTCGGGATGCTCTAGCCCCAAAATCGGCCTGGCCCCACTGTAAATCCAGAGCTCCCCCCCAAATGACCCAAATGACCCCCCCTTCCCAGCCAACGGTTCGCCTGACCTCGCGCTGAGGGATCTTGTACCTCCACCACCACCCACCCAGCAAAATGGTACTTGCTTTCCGCATCCACCCTTCTGAAAGCTCTCCCTCAACGTAAAATTCGCGGCCAAGCAGCGCGCGAGAGAAAAAAAATAAGCTGGGTTCACCGGCGAGCAGATGGATCGACTCCGAAAAAAAGGGAAGCACTTTTGTTAGCATTCTCAAGCCACCTCGCTCCCCGAATCCCACCCTCAACATCACCACAATCCTCCTCCGATTCTTCCCAATCCCCTCAGGGTCGCCTCCTACTTCTTCCATCCGCAGAGTCATTCGCAATTGATATCGAGGCAGGCCTTCCGGCTTCCATCGTGTCTGAGCTGTCTGACTTTTCGAAGCCCTGATCTCGTTTCTCCGTCCTCTTTTCCTCGTTTTCCCCACGAGTCCGGACAGCTCCCCGAGCTTCCTCCCATCCCGCCCAACATGCTTGGCCCAGTCCTCCGAAGGCGCGTGCTGCAGCAGCGCACCACTCTCCGATACGCCCTGCCCTCCAGCCTGGCAAGATGGTACGCCTCGTTCCCTCCTCACCAGGTCGTCAAAATGCCCGCCCTGTCGCCGACCATGACTGCGGGAAATATCGGTGCGTGGCAGAAGAAGCCTGGTGACACCATTGCGCCCGGCGAGGTCCTGGTTGAGATTGAGACCGACAAGGCCCAGATGGACTTTGAGTTCCAGGAGGAGGGTGTTCTGGCCAAGATCCTGAAGGAGACGGGCGAGAAGGAGGTTCCCGTCGGAAACGTGAGTGTCTCTCTCCGTGTTTGCTCTTGAACAATTCATCGGACTTTGCTTCGCGCCAGTCCGGGGTTTTCTTTTTCTCTCAGCTTACGACCCCGTTTGACCTGCCTATCGCATGCATTGCTGACTGCTGCCCCCCAACCAGCCCATTGCCATTCTGGTCGACGAGGGTACCGATGTCAGCGCCTTCGAGAACTTCACCCTCAAGGATGCTGGCGGAGACGCCGCTCCTGCCGCCACCAACGAGTCTTCCCAGCCAGAGTCCAAGTCGGAGCCCGCTCCCACTCCCGAGCCCACCCCCGAGCCCGAGCAGGATGACTCGCCTGCCGGCAAGCTTCAGACCGCTCTCGACCGCGAGCCCAACATCAGCGCTGCCGCCAAGCGCATTGCCATCGAGAAGGGTGTCAAGCTGGACGGTCTCAAGGGCACCGGCCCCGGCGGCAAGATCACCGAGGAGGACGTCAAGAAGGCTTCTGCCTCCGGCGCCGCTGGTGCTGTTGCTGCTCCTGGCGCTGTGTACGAGGACATCCCTATCAGCAGCATGCGCAAGACCATTGCCAGCCGCCTCAAGGAGTCCATCCAGGAGAACCCCCACTACTTCGTCTCCACCAACCTGTCTGTCTCCAAGCTCCTCAAGCTCCGCCAGGCTCTGAACAGCACCTCCGAGGGCAAGTACAAGCTCAGCGTCAACGACTTCCTCATCAAGGCCATTGCTGTCGCTTCCAAGAAGGTGCCCCAGGTCAACTCGTCCTGGAGGGACGGCGTCATCCGCCAGTTCAACACCGTCGACGTCTCCGTCGCCGTCTCGACCCCGGTTGGTCTCATCACCCCCATTGTCACGGGCGTCGAGGGCAAGGGTCTCGAGAGCATCTCCTCGTCCGTCAAGGAGCTTGCCAAGCGCGCCCGCGACGGCAAGCTCAAGCCTGAGGAGTACCAGGGCGGCAGCATCTCCATCTCCAACATGGGCATGAACCCGGCCGTCGAGCGCTTCACTGCCGTCATTAACCCTCCCCAGGCCGCCATCCTTGCCGTCGGTACTACCCAGAAGGTCGCCGTCCCCGTCGAGAACGAGGATGGTACCACCGATGTTGCCTGGGATGACCAGATCGTTGTCACCGCCAGCTTTGACCACAAGGTTGTCGATGGTGCCGTTGGCGCCGAGTGGATGCAGGCCCTGAAGAAGGTGGTCGAGAACCCTCTTGAGCTGCTTCTGTAAAGGGTCGGAGAGCTATGCAAGACCATGATGAGCGAGACCTCGAGGAAAAGACTATCACCTAGCAGTGCATGGAGGAGTGCTGAGCAAGAAAAGGAGGAGGGCGCGTATGCCGGTGCGATCTAATAGACATGATGGAGGACGAGTCTCCCCAGGCTCTAGATGGAGTAAAGGAGGGACAAGATATCCTCACTTGCACGAGCGAAGAGCTTGTGGCGGCAGAGGAGCGTGGGCGACAGAGTCCACCTCCTCCTGTCGGTGTACAATGATTCATTTGAGTAATAAATTACTGTATTTCGGCGCTCAGGTCACCCCCATGGAGGCGGTCCTGTAGGGAAAATCTAAGCTTTTACCAACGCAAACTCTCTCGGTCCTCTTTCGGTTCCACAGTCATGCCACGTCCTTCTCCGGCCACATTTCGATACCAGCGGGATCAAAGTGGTCCAGGTAACTAACTCCACAGTAGCCTGCTCCGAGCGCGCTGTCTGCCTCGTGTGCTCCTGGACGGAGGATCACGAGACATAATGATCAATGTAGTGAAGTGTTTTGGCAACGTGGGCTTTTTACTTGCAATATACCTATGTGCAGAGCAGTCTCAATAGGAGGAGTGTCTATCCCAGTGTTTGTCTAATCTCATGTATCGTACAAATTTCATTTATGCTCGACCATGCTTGAACGGAAGACGAAAGAGCCCCCTCCGTCCGCGTGTCGAACGTAGGGGAAAGGCCAGCTCGGATCCCGATCTCCATCATACTTTTCCCAGAATACCCTTCTCGGTAAACATCTTGGCCCATAGAATCAGCATCGTGCCTCCCAAACAACATATCCCTGCGAAGATGGCGACGTTGTGGATATTATGGTCTCGATCGAGCAAGGCTCCCGTCGCCGGCGGTCCGATCAGGGCCGAGACGCCCGCGATGGCCATGCCCATCCCCAGGTATGTGCCGACCTCCTGCTGGTTCTTGGGGACGAGAGAGAGGGCAACAGAGCCACCGGATACGATAGTCCCGGAGCAGAAGCCAAAAGCAAGCGTGTAGATGATGATCCCAGCTGTTCCCGATAACTTGGACCAGCACAAAATGATAATGGATGTGCTGAGCCCGGCACCGAACAACATGTTGAGCCGGCCAAACTTGTCTGCCAGGATGCCGGGGACAATACGCCCCGGGATGGAGGCGCCGTTGAGCATGGCCACCAGATAAAAGGCGAGGCTGTCGTTCATGCCTTTCTCAATGGCAAAGGCCGGCAGAAAGAACATGGGGACAAACATGCCGACCATGAGGAAGAGGTTGCCGATGACCAAGAGATTGTATACTGGCTCCTTGAAGGCCGAGAGCAGGAGAAACGTCGTCTTCCGAGGCGGGAGCCGCGCCTTGATGACGATACTGCAAAAGACCAGCACGGGCACCATGATGAATGCCACGATGCGAACCGACCAGCCGAACCCGAGGCTCGACTCGTTGAGCATCTTGGTCATGATGATGGGGAAGACGATGGCGCCGACGGACGACCCGACGATGGCGACGCCCATGGCCGCGCCGCGCTTCTTGTGGAAGTACTGCGGCGTGGCCGCCATGGCCGGGAACATGAGCAGACCGTCGGCGACGCCCGTCAGCACGCCCTGCGCCAGCATGAACTGCCAGTACTCGCTGCACAGGCTCGTCATCATGATGGCGAAGACGTACAGCGCCGCCGCCGGCCGGATGACCCTGGCGCCGTAGCGGTCGAAGAGCGGCCCGCCGACGCACCCCGTCGCGAAGATGAGGAAGGCCTGCAGCGAGCCGATCCAGGCGATGCGGTCCGAGGTCTCGTGCTGCAGCTGGTGCAGCATGTAGTACGCCTGGAAGACGCCGAACGAGTTGGTGTAGCCCAGGGTGGCGAAGAGGACGCCCGCGGTGCCGGCGGCCACCAGCCACGCCTGCGTGCCGCCTTCGGGATAGTCGTTGGCGATCTTGGGCTCATCATCTGGAGACAAGTCTTCCGTGTGAGGGGGTTTCTCAGGATCGTAGGCATCGCCAGTTGGCGTGGAGTGCGTGTTCTTGGATGCCATCATGGGCTTCGAATTCGGTTATATCTGTTGGCGTTTACCTATGGTGCGCAAGCTGATTACACATGTATCACAATCAAAAAAAAAAAAATCACGTCGCCTTGTTATATAATATGATTCCATTCAAATGTCCGGCCCTTTCCTATCTGTTAAGTCACGATGCAATCTCCGGCTGGGTCTTGAACAAGGCCTGGGTGGAAGAAGTCCGAAAACATCCTGGCCATAGCGTTCGAGATGTGACACTACGGCCACTGCTAGAGCGCCAGACACACGAGAAGAAAAAACCTGCCTCGGAGTGTCAAGGGTGCAGAAAGAAAATGCATGCGGCAGGCGAGGTGGTGATGTGATGTCCGGCCTCCTTACACCGACGCTAGTTGTCTGAGGCCCGCGGCATTTTCGGTATTTTCAGCCCGAGAAGTGGATCTATCTTCACAGAGTCGAGTATGATTGGATACTGAACCCATCCTGGAACCATAAAGTCCGAAAAGACCGCATTAATTACGTGCGCTTATGGGGATGCATAGGCCGAATTGTGCGGACTTCTTCTCAGAGTCGACCATATCACCCTTTCTGCTGTGTCAGACCTGGCAGTCAATCTCACAAAGCATCGCAGATAACAGTACAGCCTCTTGCATACTCACGAATCATGGCCGACCAATGGAGTGACCCGTCTGGCAAGAAACGGCGGAGGCCAGCCCTCGCGTGCGAACAGTGCCGCCGGCGCAAGGTGAAGTGTGACCGCGTACAGCCATGTACCAATTGCGTCAAGGCCCAGCGTGGCTCGGAATGCTCTTTCAAGCCCGATAGTCGCGTGCCCAGGCCTCCCAAGGCGTCAGAGAGAAACACCGAGCTGCATGCCGGCTCCAGCAGCCCACCGCGCGACAGCCTGGGAGCATGCGAGGCACCTCCGGCCCCAGCATTCCCAGGTCCCGGGACCCACACAAGCTCAAGCAGCGCATACCCGACTCCCTTCACAGGCATTCGGAGCTTCCAGCCGTCAGAGGCTGCCAACAGCCCGGCAAGCCAGAGGTCAGGGCCTTCTACTGTGGAAGCCCTGACGGAAAAGGTACGGTTGTTGGAGCAGCAACTGTCCCGCGCTCTTCGGCAGAAGCAAGATGACGCCCTGAACGAGCAGTGGTCCAACGGCTCCTTTCCCATCTTCCTCAACAAGGGATCCTTGTCCAAGACCCGATACTTTGGGCAGAGTCACTGGATGAATGCTGCCAACCTAGTGAGTGAGAGGTGTACCCCCAAAATCCAACGTAGTCTCACACTAACGATCTATAAAGTTCCCTCTGATGCAACTCATTAAGAAGCAAGAGGCGGAAAAGACACCCTTGTTAGAGACATTCGAGAGATGCAAGACGTTAGGGCGGACCATCAAGGCCCGCCGGGTCCCTTCACTCATGACTGTAGAGTTTGGGAAGACTATGCCACCCAGAGACCTCGCCGACAAGCTTGTCCAAGCGTATTTTCGCACCTTTGAAACCGTCTATAGGATCATCCACGGGCCGACTTTCTGGCAAGATTATCGTCGCTACTGGGAAAACCCCGAGGCACCCGCGAATCCTTTCATCATCATCCAGATCCAGCTCTGCATGGCGATTGGTGCCTGCTTCTACGATGAGACGTTTTCCCTCCGTGACCAGGCAAGTCACTGGATCTACGAAGCTCACCTCTGGCTCATGTCGCCTCCGGAGAAGTCTCGCATGAACATTCCCGGCCTGCAGATCATGTGCCTGCTGCACCTGGCACGCGAGACCACCTCTATCGGCGGCGACCTGACATGGATCTCGGCCGGCGGGCTCCTCCGGCTGGGTATGTACATGGGGTTGCACAGAGACCCAAAGCATCTCCCGAAGCTCAAACCTTTGCTCGCCGAGATCCGCCGAAGGCTTTGGGCCACCATTCTTGAGATGATATTGCAGTCAAGCATCGACTCTGGCGGGCCAGCCCTTGTGTCATTGACAGATTTCGACACTCAGCCCCCGAGCAACATGGACGATGACCAGCTCGTCGATCTCGGCGATGGAGAGGAGCCCGCACCCCGGCCTCCGACTCTCTTTACTCAGACATCTGTACAGATCGCCCTTGTCCAGTCCTTCCCAGTTCGCCTGGCCATTGCGCGCTATATCAACGACTTCCGCACCGTCAACAGCTACGACGAGACTTTGCGCCTCAACTCTGATCTTTCTAAAGCCTGCCGCACACTAGCATCCACGCTGCAGAGGTTCCAGGCCACGGCGACGTCGCCCGGTGGGAAGCCTTCCGAGTTCCAGCTGCGCCTCGTGGAACACATGACTCACCGCCTGTTCCTGACCATCCACCACCCGTGGTTCGCGGCCTCTCAGCACAACCCCAAGTACTACTTCTCACGCAAGGTGTGCGTGGAGACAGCGCTGAAACTCGTCCGGGGCTGGAGCCCGAAAATATCGCGGAACCTGATCCGCGATCCCACAACTTCCGCAGACCACAACACGTGGGAGAACTCGGTCGACGACTTTTCAAGGCTCTCCATCGGTGGTACTGGTTCGTTCAGATCGGTGCCTATCCAGTCGCTGTTGTTGCTAGCACTTGAACTGATCTGGCAGCTAGAAGAGGAGCAACCTGAGAGGATGAACGCTGATGGTGACACCCTCGGCACAGTCGACCTCGGTATACCATCGGGCCTTGCAGTGGGTGGTGTGGCTTCGCAAGAGACTTTGTTCAATGCCATGGACCAGGCTTGTTTATATACCGAGCTCCGTCTCCGGGCTGGAGAGACAAACATCAAGGGTCACGTATGTGCCTGTGCTATCAATGCCCAGGCACGGGCTCTACTGCGAGGCCCTCTCGATGTCGCCGAGATGGAGAAGATAGTACTGGAAGAGGCCCTTGAATGCTCCAAGCGGTGCTGGGACATTCTGAGACAGGTCGCCGTGCACAGGCAGGACGTCACCGCTCCGATGCAACAGATGAAAGTGAACCAAGAGCCATTACGCGACCCCGCAGTAGAGAGTGACATCTTCAACATTGGTTCCATGGCGCAGGAAGGCCTTGCCATGGATGTGGATAGTCAGTGGGCATGGGAAGATTTTGTAAGCCATCTCTTGCATGGGACCCTTGAGCGTGTTCGATTGCGGCTGACAATTTCTGCAGATGAAAGATCAAGGCGGTTTCAATTTCAACTTCAGCTTCAACAATTTCGAGTCGCCTCCCATGTGAGCCAGGATTGTGCTCTCTGGTTCGCAAGCACTTCGCCACGATAGCTTCAGCCAGGGTCTCGGACGGAAAATAGGGTTCATTGATTGCACCCGGCACGATCTATCTATTTATAGAAACTTCGAAGAATACAGCTCTGAGGCATGTGCAAGCCGCTGTCGGCCTGTATCGAAGGAAACCCCGGATTCGACACGCAAATGCACTTGAACAGGAGCGGGATCTCGCGGATCACTCATCCCCTTGCTCATTCGGAAAGCTCTTCTCTCCTGCCTAGGTTTTTTTGGGATGTCATTTTCGGCACCGGGGGATGTAGAATTAGATTAATATGGGCTCTATTACCGGTGCCGAGACGCAATAGCATTTTGGTTCCGTATATTGTCCAATCCTTTTACCCATCCAATCAGGAGCATCACAACTAGCTCTCATTCCGCTCATTCTCTCCATGACTGCTGCCCGGGAAGAGCAAGTGCTGTCACGGGATGCTTCGTGGACGTTCTACAGCCCATGTCTTGGATTCTTCTTTCTTTTGTCTGACACGGCGCCCAGCATTGACCACATCTCACGCCGGGATGGTCGCCGGGGGTGTGTCCAGGCCGGGCCGATTGACCAGCAGCAAGCTAGATCCGCTTACTTCCCACAGAGAACTAGCTCTGAGCTGTATATATGAGGTGGCGGCTGCGTACTCCAAATCGAGCATCCCTCCCCGGATCTCCCGCGGATGATATCACTTCTCGTCCCGGGGTCCCATGTCCGCGCTTCAGAGGCCCAGTCCTTGGCCTTGGGTTCCCGTACAACGGTCTTCCGACCCGTCGACCAGTTCTTAATGGAGTAAATCGCCCCCAACCTCACGCAGTCGACACCACTAGTCAATCCGTCCCGGACGACATCACCTGTCTCAGTCACCAACCTGGACTAGCTCTCATCGACGGAATAGTCGAGACCAGCCACTCCATGCACGGAATGCTACCTTACCACCACCACGACTGATCAGATGCTCTCCCCTGTGCTACCAGGTTTGCCGCCATCGCCCGTCCCGGTTTGCCCGTGACAAAGAAGGGTGCTGCGGTCGAGATATATCAAGTTGGGACTCTCCGAACACTATCAGAACAATTTGATGTCGCTCAGGCTCTAAAGGTTTGGAATTGGATTGCTTAAAACCCGTCTTTACCGATACGTCACACATCACGAGCCAGCCAGGATGATAGTCCCCTACGGGGCAGCTCTGTCTGCCATGTTGCTGTGGACGGCAGCAGCATCCCCCTTGGCACCAGAAGAACCTGACATCCTGCCTACCAGGACAGTCACGCGGCATCACTCAAGAACAAGCGACCGGAGCGGCGGGTGCACCACCACAATCTCACGACATGTAACCAACCCTTGCGCCTGGGACGGCACCCAGACGATCTATGCCTCGACCACAACGCGGCCAGCCTCGGTAGACTGCGGCGGCTGCTCCCATATCTACCAGGTAATGGAGATATACAACTGCCCCGAGCAGAGGATCCTGACTGCGACGAGGGCACGCACACCGAGTACCTCATGGACGACAGTCTGTGCCTCCTCGACATCTAGGCGGCACCCGCATGTCCCCACCATCACGCCGCCGCCGTGCTTGACAGCCGCTTCCGCAGAAGAGGGAGATGTGCAGTCGCAGGAGCTCGACAGGCGCCAGGATGCCATTCTGACCAACCATGCCGAGGAGGCATGCCCGACTACGTTCATCGTTCAGCCGGCACAGACGGCGGGCGCAACCTTGACGCGCTACCGGCAGACGATCACGCAGACGGTGCTGCTCAACTGTGGTGGGTGTCAGCTTCACATCAGCACCGCTCTGGCCGGTTACGGCCCCGCGGGCAAGTTCACAACGACAGTGACGGCACAGCAGTCGCAGACCACCGTGTATAGGTGTCGGTGAGGCGGTGGGGTCTGGTGGCACATATATCGAGAAGCAGAAACAGGTGTGCTCTGTGATATACTCGGCACTCTATCATGATTGCTGCTGTGAGGAGGACCTAGTCTGGAACGGTCGGGAAGCACAGTCGGTGCGGATAGAGACGGCGAGAATTGGTAGACATCAATGATTACAGGAGGAGCACATGGAGGACGCGCGCTGCCAAAGGGCAGATTCGGCGAAATAGCACGTCAGCATAGTCATCACGCATCATGATTCCCGAAAAGGCATTGTCAGATAGCTGGGAAGAGATAGAAGAAGCAAAACATTTTGCATCCCGTGCCTTGCTCAATACTCTGCCATCGTTGCTTCCCGAGGGATTGCATAGTCCAGGTGTGGCGCCCCGAGACGGGACCTCTCACGGGCTGACTGCCCGTAAGCTCGGCCGCAATTTCCGTGGTTGCATTTGAAATTGTCCTTTTTTTTCAAGCCCATCTCGGGTCGACCTCTCCGCTGCTTAAGCTTTTGCTAAGCTTTGTTGGGGGCGGCAAATGTGCGTCGATCCAGGCGGCTGAACTTGGGTCAGAAGACTGGGCCGCCATTCGATGGAGACCTTGTGCTCCCCTGAATTGTCAACGTTGCAGCAGCCAGGGAGGAATATCAGCTAATTGGACTGAGGAAGGAGTGCTGGTAAGATTGATCGCCATCCTGTTATCTGTTGTCAGTCAGCAACTGCTGCCCCCCTTCAGCCCTAGCTAGATGGGGAGAAAGTATGCTGCGTTCATATATTCGGTGACACACCACCATGCCGGGCCGATACAGTGTCCCTTCTTTTCCTGCATAGCCTATATGGGCAATTTCTGTCGTGCCTGGTTCTTATTGTGATACGACCTGGGTCCAAGTTGCCATTACCGGGATCAACCTTCTGGAATGCGGTAGCCAGGACCGGAGGGGAATGTTCACATCTTGTCACACATACCAGAGTCTATTTTTGAACTATCCCTCCATTTACCAGGGGGTCTCACGGAAAGTGGTACAGAGGATGAAGTAGTCTGCTCTGCTTCTCCGTTGGCTCGAACGGGAAACGTGTAACCATGGGCTGAGGATTTGTGCTCACCTTTTACCAGCCCTGGGCCTCTTGCTTGATGTTGCAGCTCAAGCAGCACCCCGGGATTTTAATATCCGAATCAACACATGTCGGATCTGTCCAGTATTGGCCAGAAACATGGCGTGTGGATGCTTCTAGCCGGCGTGTGGCGTGCTTCTGGATCTCTCGAGCTGTCTTCTTTCCTTCTCTCGTCACATTCCTTCTCCACATCAACTCCACCCTCCTCACAGACTGCGCCTGCGGTGAGGAAAGACCTCACCTGGGGAAGCTATTAAAAGCCGTCAGATAGACGGTGCCCTGTCTTTGTTCTGCAAGATTGACATGTTCATCCTTAGCAATCAAATTCCAGGAGGCCAAGGCATTACTCTTCAGCATCATTGATATGGCATCCATTGTGTTCATTGCGGCGCTCATTGCGACTGCGGTCTCAAAGCCACTTCCTTTTCCCACGCCGCCTCCCGATGATCAAGGAGAGACATCGCCGTCACAGTCAGGCTGCACCACTGTTCTGACATCCTCAATCCGGGGCTTCAACGGCAACTGGACTCCATTTATCGAAGAGACTGTCTACACGGCAACCGACACGATCTACCACCGTGTGCCTTGCAATGGCTGTGTGCTATCCATCACAACGGAGCTGGTCAAACCATGGGGAGGAGTTGGGCCCATGGAGCAGGTGACTGCTACTGTTACTGCTGCTGAGCCCTTCCGCACGACAAAAACCATCTGCTCGATAACTTCAACACCCGTGCATCCAGCAATTCCGCGCGGTGCACTCATGGGAGATGTTGATGCTGGTTCGGCAGCTGTGGAGAATGTGGCCGTGCCCAAACCTCGAGATGTTGATACAAACAATCCAGCCTGCACTTTCACCCAGCCTGTACCACTCAAGCCCACATTTGGTCCAACACAAACACTCTGGACAATAACAAAGACACACACAAGTCATGTCGACTGCAAAGGTTGCATGCATGTCGCCACAAGTACGCTCAATTTCCTAAATCATGGCCCGGTTGTCCACTTCACAGCAACAGAGACAGCAAAAACACCGACAACTTCAACTATATATGTCTGCCTCAAAACACCCAGTGTGACAGGCTCGACACCGACAATGAAACCAAGGCCATGAGTGTGCCCAGGAAAAGTGCGAGGGAAAGGGGATGAAATGCAACAAGATTCCTGCATGTAAGCAAGTTGTGGTGAAGAGAGGGTCAAAGGGGGTTGAAAGAGGAATAGGAAACTGGGTCGCAAAGGGTGGCTGCCTTTGCGCAGTCTTATAAGAGAATAGCATACAAAAGCAATCGGTTATTTGTGGAACCCCTAAAAACCAAGTGATTGCGAGAGTCAACAATCTGAATCGAGAAAACCGAGCTCGGTCACTTCGGGTTCACTTTTCCTTCAGAACACATCCAGACTTGCGGTCAGAACCAAATCAGCTTGGGCTTTTCAACGCGTCTTCCCGCTTCTCATTGTTTGCTCAGACAAGCACCGAGCAAACCCTGTGGCTCTGCCAAGTCTCCAAGATCTCGACGCCAAATCGGATTCTCTCCTGGACCCTGCACCCTTGATCTTGGGTTTTCAACATCTCTCCCCCCCCCCTTTCCATTTGACACTTCACTTCCTTTCACTCTGATTGCTGGTTCAATACCAACACCAAAAGGCACCAGATCAAACATAAAATCTTCTTCCTGATCACTGCTCACCATGACCACCATGGGCCCCGACATCAAGCCGGAGCCGGTCGACGCGACTGAGCTGGACAGCCAGAGCGACGAGCTCCTTTTTGACCCGGACGTCTCAACCCGCAAGCACTTTCACGACGATCCCAGCGCGTGCCAGGGAATCCTGAAGCACGCGCAGACCAAGTTCAGCCTGGTTATCAAGGAGTCGCTGATCCAGTCTGCGGGATCCGGTCTCTTTGTCGAGGATGCCATCTGTGAGGGCGAGGAGATCTTCCAGAATCAGCCATTCATCAGCTGCCGCGCACCTCACCTGAAGGATGTCTGCGACCACTGCCTGATGAACAGGAACGCCAAGCTGGACGCCGAACAGGGAGGGATTGACTGTCAGCATGGAGCGGTCCCCTTTGCCAAATGCAAGGGCTGCAAGTATGCTCACTACTGCTCCCGGGTACGTCTAGCCTTCCCCTCCCTGACTCAACCTTTGGCTACAAGCGCCAAATGTACATGACATACTGACGGCCTCGACAGACATGTCAGAAGAAGGCCTGGGCTGCCTATCACCGAGAGGAGTGCCAGGTGCTCAAGGAGATCCCTGATATCTCGCCCTTGGTTCGTATTCTGTTCCGCATCCTGCTCTGGGACAAGGCGGGAAAGATCAGCTCGGGCTACTGGAACATCTTGATGATGCTGGAGGACTGCTTTGACCAGCGTGACGAGGAGAGCGAGGACGACAGCTTCCAGCTCGCCGTCGATGCCGTCCAGCGCAACATCTCGCACCGCAACGTCACTGTCATCTGGAAGCTCTTCTACGCTGTGAGTCGGTGGCAATGGAGAAGCGAATGGGAGTCTATGGAGATTGTGCTGACTATGTCCTGTCCAGATCCAGATCAATGCGATGAACATCCGGATGGCCGATGACTACACCTCGACTGGCATGAGTTTCGACTTGGCCATCTCCGTCATCAACCACAGCTGCGATCCGAACGCCTTTGCATTCTTTGAGGGCAACCGCCTGCATGTCCGCTCCCTCAAGCCGATTGCAGCTGGCGATGAGATTACTCTCCCATACTGCAACACCATGGTTGGAGTCCTCTCCCGCCGGGAAGGGCTTCAGAAGTCCCACTTCCTCACCTGCTCTTGTGAGTGTACTCGGTCCATTCGGCTTTCCATGTACATTGCTAATGATTGAGAAAGGCAACCGCTGCATTGCTGAGCTCAAGGAGCACGAACAAATCGCCCGTGCCAGCGGAAGCTCGGTCGAGAAGCTCTACGCGGCACAGAAGGAGCTCGGCCAGATGGGAGACGCCTTGCACAAGACCGTCAGGGATCGCCCTTCGGAGCAGGGCAAGAAAGCCGTGCTCGAAAACTTTGTCGCAAAGCTCAAGGGAGTCATGAGGGAGGGACTCCCGCAGGGAGCCTGGCCGGACACCCTGGACCCCCTCCCTGACCTTCGGCTCAGCCTGGCCATGAGCTACGGCGAGCTGCACCACCTGGGCGCCTCTGTCATGTACGCTCTGAAGGGATGCCTGCTCAACAAGGGCCGCCACGTCGGCCCCGATTGGGTCCACAACTTCCTCGACCTCGTCGCCATCCTGGCCGAGATCGGCCAGCTCGACCTGGATGACCAGCTCTTCAAGATCACGGGCTTCCCGCAGCGGTTCGAGATCCAGGTGACTGTCGCCGGATACATGGTCTACCTCCTCGCGGCCATGACCAAGACCTACGGCACGGGCAGCCGCTTCGTGCGGGGCTATCGGCGCTTCATCATCAATTTCCTGGATATTCCTGGACTGCCGGCGGCGGCCGACGAGAACTTCGTGGATGTGTTCAAGGCCATGCAGGCGAAGCTCCTGTGCTGGGCCGGAGTCGACGAGACCAAGGCCATCGTTATGCCCGATGAGCAGACCATCAAGGGTCTGCTGGAGGCTGACATGGCTAGGCAGCTCTCGGCTCTCTCCATCGAGGACTAAGAGCTGCGCTGTATGTCTGGCTGGCAGGGTCTCGAATGATCGTCTGTCATGGTCTGTGTGATTGCTCTATTCATAAGGATGATGGGTACCTGGCGGTCATGGGGAGGTTTGTTATCAAGATGAAACAGAGGGACACACGTCAAATCGAGGGATCGCTGGCTTGAATTCATGGGTTCTTGAGGATTGCTCATTGACTAAAGGAAAGACAGTCAAATAAATGGTTGAGGAGGAGGAGTACATCACCAGTACTAGGCAGATGTGCCTAGTGGAAAGCATCATCTGGTGCGCGCACTAATTACCAGACTATCAGTTAACGAATGAGACTCTTTTCCTGCACATAACTAGCTGCTGTCGCTCCCGCCTGACGTCTTTTGTCCCATGTGGCCTGTCTCACTCCAGGCTTGGTGAAACAAGGAAAGCGAGCCTAGGAGATGAGTCAATGAAGAAGTCGAAATGTTGGAGATTGATATGATGCAAATTTACGGGTAGCAAAACCGGGTTCTGGGCCAAGCACCACACCCACCTGCCCGCTGTGCCTATCACAAGCCACTGAGTGTCTTGCCTAGCAGGGTTCATGACGTAGCCACGCCAGCGCTGGAGCCACCACCGTTCAAGCCTGAGCCACACCAGCACCAGAATCGCCCTTCCCACACCACCACACCCGCCTACGCAATCGACGTCAAGTGGCACGGAGTCAAGGCCTGAGGATGCTGATAGCAATATGTGCACCGTTTATGAGGCCTGGGCAGGTTTGGAGAGAGGGATAAATAGGGTCGGGTCGGGTGGGAGGTGTGGCTGAACTCCCTGCCCTCTTGACTTGCCTGACTCTACTCTACTTTCTCCCTTCCTGGACGCCAGACGAGCATCATCACTTTGCTGAACAAGCACAGCATCAGAGAAGCCTCTATTCCTCACGAGCGAGAGGCATTCGAGAATGGAGTGGACCAAGGAGCAGTACAACAAGCAGTACGAGAAGTGGGTGCCGTGGCTAGAGGACATGTACCTCAAGCTCTTCACCAAGGACAACAAGGCAAGCTACGCAACCAAAGGTGAGTTGGTCCCTTCTAGTTTGCCTTTTCCTCATCTCTTCTTCCTTCACAGGAGGAGAGCAAGAGAAAGAACAAGATCACAAAGCTGACTGATGCACTTTCAACTTTCACCAGACAACCTCGACAAGACCAAGGTCACGGGCGTAGACCAGGTGGACAAGCTGCAAGACGACGTCCACCACGGCGTGGCGGGCCAGCTGGGCCAGGGCGGGCTGGGCCAGCCGGTCGGCGACCTGGTATCCAAGGAGGGGGTCAACCGGACAGAGCGCCAGGGCCGGGACGACAAGGGCGGGTACGTGCCGACGGGCGAGTCGCTGACAGAGGGTGCCTCGGCCGCGGCGGGCAAGGCGCAAGAGGGCGTCTCGGCAGTGGGGAGCTCGGTCGGCGGGCTGTTCGGTGGAGGCGGACAGGACAAGGCGAGGAAGTGAATGGGGATCGAGGGACGGTGCGTATGACAGCAGATGGGCTGGCAAATATCGTGGGAATCGAGGTTCGGTTGATAGACTATCTTTTGGGATTGTGGCTTGTTCATGCTTCTTTCTGTTAGTCGGAAAATAATATCCAAGGTCTTGATTACATATCGGCTGGATCAATTACAAATACGGCATTGTGTATTCGTCCCTCTTCCCTTGTAAGATCAGTCCATCCGTTGAAGAAGGCTTGGGCGGGGCCTTGGCAGCAGCCAGATACGAGTCGTCGAGGCCAGAACAGGAATGGCAAGGCTGTCCTCTAGCCTCTAGGCCATTTCTAGCACATTAGCGACCGAAAACAAACTGCTAAAAAGTGAGACATGGGCCCGGACGGGGCCGGCGGAGAGGACCGAGCCATCGTTGGGCGGTCGACAGCCTATCTCGAGATTGAATACGATGCATGCTCCTTTGTCTCCATGATTGACCAGTCGCGGGACGTGCTCCCTGGTGGAAAGCGAGGGTGATCTCCCCAGACGTCGTCGATCGGACACGATCTCTCTTGGATCACCCAGAGCTGTCAAGCTGTCTCGCTGTCTTCTCTCAGCTCGATCGCCTGCCAGCCTAAGGCTTTGCGGCATCCCTGCTAGTGCCATAGTTAGCCGATTTGGGTTATCTTTTCTCATCTCGTCCCCTTCTCGGAAACAAAATCATAGCATGGCGGCAGTGGTTCGGAAAAGACATGGGCATTCGCCTCCCGATCTGCCAGAGACCATAGCAGGGAATGGCTTCAAGGAGGGATTCGCTGCTCGTCTACACATGAAGCTCGAGGCAAGTGATATCTCTGATCAACAGCCTGATGAGCTTTCCGGGTAGGACATTGCTTGGTAGCATCAACTACCAGCCCGGAATACCGTCTTTGTCAATCTTACCTCATCTGGCCAGTGTACCATCCTGCCGGTGTCTCTCCTCACCGTTCGTTCCCCTAGGGCTTACCGCGCCCCCCACTGAATAGCCTACCCAGCGAGCCAGGATCCGCCGTTGCTTGCGCGTCACAATGCAACTCTTTTCGTTCTTCGACTCTGTTTGGCGAAACCAACCTCACAAAAGTACCTACTCGGTAGATTCTCGCCCAACTCCTGAGGACTCTTTGGAAAGGATGCAAAGTATGCTATGGCTAGCTGGACCTGGACCTAGCGGGACGACGCCGCATGCAGCCATCCTTCCTCCTAGCTGCTGCCATTCGTGCTTTGTGCCTCTACGGAGTAGTCTTTTCTCCGAGAGGCCATCCATGAACCACAGCCAAGTAAGTGGCTTGTTTCAAGAAGAAGAAAAAAAGCCCTTTCGACTTGTCTAGCCTTTCCCACCGCTCGGCGGGACCTACCCTGGATTTAGAAGTAGCCCCTCTTGACGACTCCCCCAAGCTCTTTCCCTCCGCCGGAGGTGAGGCAACGGCTCTTTTTTTCTTTCTTATCAGGACGCTTGATCACGAGCCCACCATGCTTGAATTTTCGAGACAGCCAGCTCAAGCAGTCTACACACTTTCCCCGTCCCTCAACGTGTGTCTGGTCTCTGTTCTACACACTCTCACGGATATCATCCTGTTTTCTGTACCACAAGACAACTGCGGAGCTGCGCAGGCAACTTCTGGCACGGAGCCGCAAACGTCATCGCAGTTCTGTCCCGCGCGCCCAAGTCTTGACCACCCGCCCAACTCTTGTGCGCTTTTCTACGCTTAATGCTGCTTGTCCCTCGAAGCGGTTCCCCAACTCCGCCGCCTCATTGCTTATTGTGGATTTCTCGAAATTTGCTTTGCTCAGAGGTGGGACCAACACCATCCTTCGTTCTGCCCCTTCCTTCATGCCGTCTCTGAGAGGCCGTCCTTCGTCCAGCCAAGCTACCGAGAAGCTGCTCCCAACGACGCCTGTCTCTCCTGGCGAGCCGTCACGGCAAGCCCCGGCCAGGAGGCCCGCACCAGGGCTGACCACCACGTCTGGCCCCCAAACCACCACCACCCCAGTGGCGGCGGCCGCCGAGCCTGGTCGTTTTCGCAGCCTGTTCCAGCGGAGCAAATCTCTTCGCAATCCTTCGCGTGGCTTGCATAAGACTGCAGGGGTGCCCTCCGCCGGCCTGGGTCCAGAAAAGGCTGTTGCTATCACCGAGCACCAACGCCAAGATGTGGTGGTGACAGAATCCCCAACAAGAACGGAGAGCGCCTCGTTCACCACTAGGCAGCACGCTGCTCCTCTCCTTCGGTCTCATCCATCGTCAACTCACTCAGAGCCACCGACACCGAGGCCGCCCCCGGATCAGTTAGAGCATCCCGCTGAGGCCATGGGCAAGATGCCACCGCTGCTGAAAAAGAGGCCGAGCTTTCGGGATCGCTTTCGGCGCAAGCCAAGCCCGCCGACCCAAGTGGCTCCGGAGGAACCACGAGTGCACTCGGTATACGTCCCTAGGCATGCTGCATCGGACTTCTCCCGCCTGTCCGTACCACCGCGACGGCATGAGATCTTCCCCATAGCCGAGTCGCCCGTCGTCGCACCTCCACCTCGAGACGACCACGAGCTGGCACGAGTCGAGGTTCCAAGACGACTGCAACTTGAAGATGAGAAGCCGAGATATTCACACGCGCAGCAAGATTCACTAGGTGTCAGCAGGTTAAGGGAAGACACAGATCGGGGAGGGCAAGGACATGGTCCGACGACACAAAGCCGGCCACAGCATGGACCCGCGGCGCAGATGAAACCCGTTCCTACGCATCATCGCTCATCGAGTACGGCGAGCGACGATACACCGGACCGCAGAGAACCAGCGCAGACCGCAGGGCACGATCGTCAGGACGACAACGCTCGTCAAGAGCAGACACTCGGAGCAGAGGCCGCGCCAGAAGCAGAGCCCTCCTCCGACTACCAGGAATTCCTGTCGCGCGCCGCCGCCGAGGACCGCGCCCACCGCGAGCAGGTCTGGCGCGCCCTGACCAGCGCCAGCCGCGCCGCCCCCCGCTCGCGCCTCGAGTCGGTCGCCGACACCGCCCTGGCGGCGGCCGAAGGTAGCGGCGGCGGCGGCCCGTTCGACACGGTGGGCAGCTCGCGCAGCGCCAGCCCCGGCAACGACGCGCCCAACTACTTGCTCGCCGCCGCGCCTCGGCGCAGCTGGGGCCGGCAACAACAACACGGGCCGGCGGCAGCAGCGACCTCGGGTCGAGACGGCGGCGATCTCCCCGCGCTTGCCGAACACGGCGGCCATCATTGGCAGGTGGTCGCGGGCGTACAACCTACCGGTCGCGCTCTCGGCGGGACAACGACCGGAGCGCAGCAGCCCCGTGGCCTCAAGAGGCATTCCAACATGGCCCAGCGCATCGCCCAGTACGTGCGTCCGGCCACGGATACGGGCGGCTCTGCGGCCAAGGACATGGGCAGCCGTGCTTGACATGGAATAAGAATGGGCAGGAAAAGGCCCCTTTGACATTGAATTATGGCTGTTTTCTAATTAATGAGATACCACGAAGCTTATACCATACAGTCGCACACGCGGTCACGACATGAAGCGCATCATTTATCTTTCTAATCATGCAAGTTTCACATTACTTGTATTCGCTGTCGGAAATAGAATGCATCATCCCTGCCATCTATCTGTTTTCCTCGCCAGATACAAGGCTAGACAGTGAGGGTATCACAAAAAGAATTGCGCTGCGAGATGCTTGCCCCGGCTATTTGTCCCAAGCTCTCGTCGAGACAGCCACCGGCCTTCTAGAAAAGTAAAACATGTGTAGATCCTCCCAAGACCCCATCCCAGGGGTTTGCATCGCCTTCAAACTTGGGCGGTGGTCATGCGTAACAGTGACAATGTCATGGCCGCCTCGGTGGCCCTCTCGGACTCGTTGATGAGCTGTGCCGTCGGGTTCCACTCCTGCGGTCGATGGTCTCCTTTGCTCGCAGGCGGGCGCTGCAGCCTCGCAACCATGGGGTCTGTCAGGAAGAAAGGATCGCCCATGCGCGAGCGCTCGTGGTAGCGTAGATTGGCAGAGATGACAGTGAGGGGCCCCGTGTTCGTCGTAGGAGGCTCCAGAGGCGCGAGCCTGGGTTTCGGAACTGAAGGTCGGGAATGAGAGACGGCCAAAGCCGGTATGCAAAGGCTGCTTCCCTTGCTACTTGGCGCACCAGGCCGGCTCGGGAGGGGCCGCGGTGCCGGAAGCGACATGATTGCCAAATTCTGATCGAACCCGGGTACAGGTGTCGCTTGGCGAGAGAGGTTGGCGATGAGGGCGTCTGTCCGTTGCCACGGCTGGGTCGTGTCGCTGCTGCCACTGGACAGGGCTGGTGTGCTCGGCGGGTCAGGTTTGTTGACGACCACCTGCTCCAAGGCTTGGGGTGGCTCTGGAACTTGCGTCTTGGGATTGCCCTTGGCATGGATCCGCCCCTGCTTGGGCAGTAGTACTTCGATACCATCTATGATCTTGCGCTTTCTCTTGCGTGGGTTGGACTTGACTGCGTCCAAGATAGATCCAGTCTCTGCAGGAGACGACATGCGCGGTTCAGAAGGCAAGGATACGGTTTGCTGATCCGCGGCAACAGTATAAGCTAAGGGAGCAGAGAACTGGGTCGTCCCAGGAGAATGCGCAACAGAATCACCGGGCTGCTCCGTCGTCTTGACGATGATGGCTTCCTCGGCCACTGATATCCGCCGGCTCTCCAGTAGGGCAGGTGCAGACTGCCGTGGTTTCTTGCGCCGAGACGTGGTTCGCGTTGTCGAGTCTAGAGGCCTAGGGGGCGCCTGAGGCTCAACCGCTTTGGCCAGATCTTCCATGATCTTGGAGACGAGGAACGCGCCATTTGCCTTGTTGTCTCGGATGGCCACAGGCCGCCGAGCCTCGGGTTTGACGATGTCTGACAGCTCACGCTTGACAATGACTTCTTTGATTGGTGTCGTATGTGTAGGCTGGACAACACCCTCTGTCGCCCTCCTCGGTTTCGTCTTGGCCTTGGGCCTAGATTTGGGCTTGGCCACAAGAGAGGCGCATTGCTCCGGGGGCAGCCAGAGCGCAGGCTGCCGTTCCTTGAGGTCCTGGACCCACGCGTCACAATCCCACTGGATCCAGTAATCGATAATATCGGACCAGACGCTTTCGGGAGGCTTTGTGAAGTTGACAAATACAACCTTGCCGCCTCTTCGGTGGATGGCCTTGGCGAACTCCTTGACGAGAACCTTGAGGCCGTGTACCCGCAGACTGGTGCCGAGAATGAGCATCAAATCGGGGGCCAACGAGATGTCATGCTGGACAATGGGCGAGATCAGATGCGCATTGGGGTGTTCCTCGCCGTAGAGGACGATATCCGGCCGTAGTTTACCAACGCCCAGGGCGCGCTTGCCGCGCTCCTGGCGAGCTGCGGTAGCACCCTCGCATCGGGGACAACTTGGCTGGCGGCCCGAGAGCGTTTCCGTCTCGCGATTGGCCTCATCCCAGTTGCAGACCTCGCCACACAGAAAGCACCGAAGGGCGTGCAGGGAGCCATGCAGAAAGACACATTCGACGCCCGGGTCACGCGTGTCTCGCACCGACGAAGGCTTAGATGCACCTCCTGTTTGGGGGTCCTTGGTATCCGAGCCGATGCTGGAGCGGCTGGCCGATCGGGTCGAAAAGCGGCCACGGTGGCCCGGCCCGAGGACGAGACTTGTGCTGAGCCCGACTTTCTCTTCGATCTCGTCAATATTCTGGGTATAGCATCGCACCAGCTTGCCTCTGTCCCGCAAGTGGCTGATGAAGTGATGGCTGGTGGTGGGCCGGACGGCGCGGACCTTTTGGCGTAGCGTGGTCGCAAAGGTGTAGAAAACGGATGTCTTCATGGGATCTGCCCAGATGGATACATCGAAGAGATCGCGGCCTTTCAGGTTGGGCAAACTAGACCGGCTGCCGATCGAAGACTGGGATGCAAAAGGGTCCGAGCTGGGGGGCGTCTCGTCAGTCTCGGAAGACGAGCTAGAGCTGGTCGAAGCTGTGTCTGTTGGCGACTCCTCATAAGGGTCAAACAGAATGGGCGGCGGTGACGAGAGTGGTGACGAGCAAAACGGCACTTGTAGATGACGCAAGCTCTTGGTGTTCTGGGCGAGTATACGCGGTGGAGTGGATGTCGTGTCGGGGGCATGGTCCTCCTGGCTGACATGTATTGATGATAGAGTCGTATCTGCGGAAGGTCCAGACGCGTCGTCGCAGACAGGCGAATAAGGCGAGTTGGGCACCGTCGAATCTGCGCAGAATACTGTTATGGCCTCTGCCTCTTGGCTGCTATCTTGCGCGTCGGACATGGACTGGTCGGAGATGTCACAGCGCGATTCGGTTTGGGATCCTTGGGATCGGCTCGAGTCGGGAGCAGGCTGGGTGCAGCCTGGCTGCAACGAGATGAGTCCTGGCGCGGCAGCCTTGGCGCATTCAGTGGTCGAGTCGGTAGCGACGTGAATCTCGTTCTCCTCGTTTTCCTCGCTCTGGATCCTCCTCCGTTTAGTAGGGCGGCATTCGTCCGAGAAGCTTGACGCGCTTGACGCGTCGGGGTCTGGCTCGGACAGCTCGTCGTGGTCTTCCTTGGCGGCAGCCTCGAATTGGGCCTGGATAAGCGAGTAGAGGCCGTTTTCTGACCGGAAGTCCTAGCAGGAGAATGTTAGCAAACCTAGAGGAAAGGAAGGTTTTGAGATGTGAGGAGCGTGGCATACAGGAATGCCTGAATTGGTACTGATGCCAGCCCCGGTGACGACCACTACTTTTCTCGACTTTGACAGACAATCGGCAATGTCCTGGAGCAAATCGCCCGACTCGGGCGTGACATGTGCGGTAGGCATCTTGAGAAAGTCAAGGGGAAGTCAAGGCAGCCTGGTTGATGCCGTGCAACACACGCGCGCGGCGATCCAATGGCAGCAGCACCCACGCACCGCATGCATGCGGCTGCCAAGCCGACGGTACAGTGGCCTTGCCTTTTCCCTCCCGGTTTCGCGTATTTTTTGGGCCTTCTTGTCCTCAAGAGTGGGCAGCAAGAGCCGTCGGTGGGCGGTGGTACATCAGTAGGCTTTGGTGATAAATAGGTTGGTGTTGAAATGGCAGGCAGGTGAGGTGTGAGGTGAGGAGACGCCCGACTGACAAGGCGCGGGGGTGTGTGGTGTGGTGTGGTGTGGTGCGGTGCGGCGCGTGTGTTAGTTAGTACAGCCAGAACAGACGCGCGAATCCCTAATAATCGAGGGCGGCTGGTCAAGGGTCTGGCGTGGCTGGCTCTGGCCTGATGGCGATGCCCGGGGTGTGTCTTTACGCGTCGTCGTCTTGGTCTTCGTCTTGGTTGCCCTCGGAGGCAGAGTCAGACTGGAAACTGCAGCCTCTTGAGGATCTCGGCTGCACTCTGGAGCTCTTTGCTGGGCAATCGGCCACCACTGTCGAGTCCGGGTTGGGAACAATAATGTTGTTGTTTTTGTCACGACTCGGAGGGATCATCCCAGTTCTTAGTGTCGAGGAGAGGATCCATTCTCCATTCTCGAAGGGTAACTAACTTCAGAGGTGCCTACCTCCTACAAAGTGTGGTAAACCCCACCTTTAAAGCACCACTCTCCAGTGCAAATCGGTTCGTGCCAGGCCCGGGTGGGGCGCCAGATTAGGTAGTGGACTACCTAGGTAGGTACCTCAGAGGGTGGTCAGGTCATTGCTCCATGTTCTTCATCAGGAGGAGCGCCTGAGGGCTCAATTCTGGTGTTAGATGAATCAGAGAACAGCGTATTCAAGCTGCCAAACCCCACTCCCACTCAATAATTAGGTGATATAGATAAGGTAGTCAAAGAGGTAGGTAGATATGAAAATCAAGCAGCTTCCATCTTTGAGACTCCCTATTAGCTGAAGCAAGTAGCCGTGGAACGGCGTGGCACTTGGCCAGCGGCTGACAGCTGCAGAGCCATTGGCGAATGAAGCCATCGTGAGAATCGACTCCGAAGGTCCGTGTCTGCCTTTTGCCGGCGCTCTCCGCCTCTTCCGAGCAAACTCCCAGAGCCCAGTTTCATCGCCCTGGGTCAGGGGCCCCAGGCGTCGATCCGACACTCCATCCCGCCGCCGTGCCTTTCTTCTGAAACCCTGGAACCAGAGCAAGGCACCCGACACGAGCGCCCGCCCGCCCGTTTCTCGTCCACCCGGTGCCCGAATCGCTGCCACTGCTCAACCATCGTCTCGAGTCTGCTGCCGCTGCTGCATTCACGTCCGGCAGACTGGTCCCTTTCCAGCATTCGCTGAATAAAAGCCAAAACCAAAGCATCATGCCCGTTTCTTCTCCCCCGGTACCTCCTGGACAGGCGGCCGGGTCTACTTGTATAAATCAAGACAAATCGCCCATCCCCCGTCTTTACTTCTCGGCAGTCGATCTTTTCCCCAGCCCTACACACATCGCCTGTTCATCCCATCTCTGCCTCTGTCTCCTTTCTTTCACGTCGATTCTCCGACAATATGCATTTCCTCTCTAGTAACCCCCAGACTCTCACGAGCTTGGTCCTCTCAGTCATTGCTGCTGTCAAGGCGCAGCAGTGCAGTCTACAGTTCGACGGTCGAGTGCCTGGAGCATTCAGCGCCGCCACTTTCGATACCCAAAACAACATATTCAGTCCCAAAAATGTCTTCGGCCAGGGTTCGTCCTCTCTGTACTGCGTAGATGTTGCTGTCTGTCAGACATCTGACTTTGTCGTGTACCGAAATCCAGGTCTCAAATTCAGCGACTTGATCAAGCTCCCTGCAGTTACCCCGTCGCTGGTGAGCAAATCTTCTTCGACGATCCGGTGCAATACTCATTGCTCCGGTCCTCTCTCCCTCTTTGTTTCAAGTGCAACATCTCTGACGTGCCTTGGCGCGCTGCACAGTTCGATGTCAACACGGTCCCCGTCGAGGTCACCATCAGGTCCGCACCGCTGGCCCGTTCCCCTGTCCTCGCGACTCCTCCAATAACTCTTATCTCTGGCCATGTAGCGACCAGTCCATCTTTGCTCCCAGTGCCAACAACGTCCAGACCGGCTTCCGGCGCGCAGAACTCCTCATTGCTAGCAACACCGGCACCGATGCTTCCACCACCGGCGTCAAGACCTTGCACTTCAGCCTCATGAAGGACGCACAGCGGCCGCTGAACCTGTCTCACGAGTACCAGCTCGTCTTTCTCGAGAGCAACGACTTCAGCACCAACCAGATCGTCCTGAAGACAGGCACCATCTTGGGCCAGGCCACCGCCAACCCGGACACGCTCCAGCTCTTTGGCAATGTCAAGCAGAATCCTCCCCAATTGCTTTTCAGCACCCCGTTCCGCCCCGGAGCCTTTCACAACTTTGCCGTCACCCTTGACTTTAATGCCTTGTAGGTTTTGTCCTTGGCCCCCTCCTTTGGGGGAGCTTGTAAGATGATCAAATGCTGACAGAAATCCCCCAAAACAAAGAACGACACAAGTCTTCTTCTCGGCTGGGGCCAGCCCACTCCAGGCAGTCACCCAGGCCCTCAAGAATGATGTCAGCGGCCAGGGCCAGTTTCATTTCGGTGTCCTGAAAAAGGGTCTAGACGGCGGCAATGACATCGTCAAGAACGGTGTGCAAGAAGCGGGCATCAACGAAGGCATCATCTTTGGTGGCATCTTCGAAGAGGACAGTTCAGCTGGCTGTGTGAGCTTGTCGCCCTAACTTTGGGCGAGGGCAGGGAGAGTATTCAGTATTGTTGGAAGAGGGTTGACCCGTCTACATCCATCTGCATACACAACGAAAGCCGGGATATCATAATATCTCATCGGGCACGAGGGAGGTCAATGCATTTTCTTGGCGGAACAAACTGCCAAAAGGGGGTCTAGTGTCCCGGTAGTGGTAGAAGTAGCCCGGGTCAGCCCCGCGCCCCAGAAGCACATCATGCACTCGATTACGCCCTTGAGCCGAGGAGAGATCGTGCCTGGGTACATGATATATTAGGTAGAGATGTCGCCATCCCCATTGCGGAGGGTAAAAGTAAATCAACAGCATTGACAACACCACTACACCAGAGTAGCCAGCCTCCAAATATTCTCTCCCAGACCACGGATCCCTCTAGTTCTCCCACCGCACGAACATGTCTTCTGCCGCCTCCTTTCGCTCCATGATTGGCGTTCAGCCTTCATCTGCGTCGACCAGCGACAGCGTCCTCGTTATCATCGACGCCCAGAATGAATATGCGACAGGCAAACTACGCGTCTCCAACATTGAGACCTCCCGCGCGGTGAATGCTTCTCTGCTCGGCAAGTACCGTGCCGCAAATGCCCCCGTTGTTCATGTGGTCCACGCAACCCCCGAAGGCGCCCCCGTTTTTACGCCGGGCACGGAGCTCGCTCAGGAGCTTTCGGAGCTGACGCCTCGCAATGGAGAGTCTGTGGTAACGAAGCACTACCCTGGATCCTTCACGGACACCGATCTACAGTCCATTCTCAAGGCGAGCGGCCGGAGCAAAGTGGTGCTTACTGGCTACATGGTGAGTCCACACCTGATCTATCTGAAAAGAAAAACCCCTTCTACCGCTTTGGCTTCAACCAAGCTGACCCATGCACGCCTAGGCCCACGTCTGTGTTTCCACGACCGCTCGCCAGGGTGCTGAGAGGGGCTGGGATGTTTTGGTGGTGGAGGATGCCGTTGGAGACAGAGACATCCCCGGCGTCAAAGCTGAGGAGCTGACTAGAGTTGCCCTGGCTGAGATTGCCGATGCGTTCGGCACCGTTATTCAGAGCAAGGACATCAACTAGGGAGGCATCCGAGGACAAGACTATGGAAGCTTGCCACTTGCCACCAAGAGTAGCTTGATTGCAATTCTTTGAAAGAAAAAGCCCGCAAATCCACGTATGTTACGTCGATGTTTAGACTCCTTGAATGAAGGAAACATGGTCAGGTACTGCGAGACTTGTCGAACCACTATCCTTGGGTATACGTATCTATATCTATGGCGCTTTCCATGACCAGTGTTCGGCGACATCCCAAAATGACCAGTGAAAAGTGCATGAGACGCCATCTATCGTCGCTAGTTACTCCTTCTCCCAGTCCTCCTTGCCACCCAGATATCGAAAGACCACCCTGGAGTCCAAATCACGACAGTCGGCAGCGTCGCTCGCCGCGGCGTACACCCCAAGTCCAGTCGCCCCTAATACGTTCCGGGACCCGACACGCCGAGCCATGTCGACGGCGAGGCCAACGTCCTTGCGCATCAGCTGCACCCGGAAACCGCCCTTGTATCCTTGTGAGGATGGGGCCCGAGGACACACCCCAGGTACCGGGTTGAACACGTCACAGATGGCGTTCTGCGCAGTGCCAGCCCCGAACACCGAGGCGAGGACGCGCGCATCAATGCCGGCCCTCATTCCCATGTCCATGGCCTCGGCGGTGGCGATGGTGATCAGCCCGGAGAGGTAGTTGTTGGAGAGCTTCGCGGCGAGGCCCAGGCTGGGCCCACCGCAAGGTATGACTTTGCCTCCCATGAGCTGCAAGAGGCTGGTGAGGTTGGGCACGTTGGGATCCGTCGAATCGCAGCCAAGAAAGAAGGCAATCGTGCCGTTCACAGCGCCAATCACTCCGCCGCTAACAGGTGCATCGTAGAATGATGTATCTGGGAAGGCCGTCGCAAGACGTGACTTAACATACAAGTTGGTGGCAGTGTCGATTGTCGAAGAGTCGATGAGGAGCTTGGGAGTAGTCGACGTTGAGAGGCCAGCGAAGATGCCAGTATCTTCGCCAAGGTAGACAGACTTGACGTGGGCTCCCTCGGGAAGCATGGTAATGACGACTTCCTACAAAGAGAAATGCATTGTCAGGTACGGGATGTGTGGACGGACGAGGACCTCAAGCATGTGCCACTTACAGATCTTTCTGTTACTTCTTTTGCGTTGGCGCATTTGTTCACGATAGATGGAAACAAGCTGCACACCTCCTCTATCTCGGCAGCCACCACGTCGTAGACGTGTATCTTTGATCCCCGAGGCAGCTTCTTGGCCAGGTTGCTGACCATGGGCCTCCCCATCGCCCCAAGGCCGATGAAGCCCACCGAAGTCGGGAGGGCAGTCTTGTCTGCTGCAGTCATGGTCAATCGGCTAGTATGTCAAGGCCAGAGGGGACTGGAAGTCGGATAGAACTGGCCGGGATCTGCTTTTGAGAGTAATATAATGCTCTTGGGCAGAACTCAACAGCTGAATCGGCATCATTTCGTCAATGCAATTCTCGGCAGAGATGGTTGGGTGGGAGAAGTATCGGGGAAACGTGGTGGGATGCGGGGAAAAGATGTGAATATCCATCCAATGCGAGAGGGGAAGCTATGTCAAGCATCTTTCCGGGACACGACCTTTGGAGAAAGTGGGGGGAGTGCACATCGCGGCTCCATGGCAAGGACAACATCAATTTCTGTTTTTATTGCAGTGAACCGGCCAGGTCGAGCACTCTGGTGGAAGTACGATCCGGATGTTCGACGAGGACAAGATGCAAAGTGCTTCGACGCAGAACGTGCGCCAACCACCAACTGTTCAGCTTCACGCTCTCTCGGCTGGCCATTTCGCCCTTCCCGAGGAGCAATTTGTATGTCCGGCCTCGCCGGGGGCACGTCGAACTGTTCCGTCACTCTCTTTCTTGCTTCAGCACGAGTGTCCTAGTACCCGACGCACAACCCGCATTGTCTTCGACCTTGGCCTGCGAAGGGACACAGCGCGGTATCCCCAACCGATCCAGAACCACATCCAGACTCGGCAGCCACTGACCACAGATCCTGATGTGGTCAAAAGTCTGAGACACGGGGGTCTATCCCCTGATGATATAGACTATGTCATGTACTCGCATGTATGTCTGTTGCGATGAAAACCGTCTACTCCTTCCCCCCTTTCTCGAAGCATAAGCAACGAACTCTATCTGATTACCTGCCAGGTTCACTGGGATCATGTTGGCGAGCCTAGGGACTTTCCACGAAGCACGTTCGTCGTTGGGAACGGGTCGCTTGATGTGCTCCATGGCAGGTCTGTGACCCTGCGAGGAAACCATTCTTTCTTCGAGGCAGACCTGCTTGACCCAACTCGAACCATCGAATTGTCTGATCCAGGTTCAAAGGAGGAGAGTTCGGCGCATACCGGGACACCTAATGGCTCTTCCCCGCACTCGATCTTCTCGAAGCCATGGCAAGCCCTAGACCATCTCCCCTCTGTCCTTGACATATTCGGGGATGGAAGCCTCTACATCGTTGATGCTCCCGGCCACTTGCCAGGCCACATCAATCTCCTCGCCCGCGTGGCCGATACCAACGCGCCGAGCGGCACCAGGTTTGTGTATCTAGCGGGCGACGCTTGTCACGACCGACGCATCCTATGCAATGAGAAGGAGATAGGCGAGTGGGATGATGCTCAGGGGCATCGGTGCTGCATCCATGCTGACCGGCCCAAGGCCGAGGAAACCATCCAGCGGATCAGAGTCCTGGAATCTCAGGGGGCCGAGGTTATTCTCGCGCATGACTCGGACTGGGAAGGCAATGAGAGGAACAGGAGTCGGTTCTTTGGAGCGAGTCCAGCGACGCCTAAAGCAAAGCTGAGCTGAATTTTTGAACACTACTTCTATCTATTTGCAATTATTATTCTTCCCTTGCAGGGTGATGATATGTTGAACCTGTGCAAGCAAAATGGTGACCACGATACTACCTACTGCCAACTTGCTGTATCATTGGCAAGTTGCCATCGTCCTTTCTGCAAGCAGCGGGCACGTTGGGGACAGTTGATGGCCATTCTCCCCCGTCTTACAGACAGCCAGATCTTGTGCCCATCCGGTGCGAAAGTCTCGATCCCCCACATGGGAGCATGTGGGGTGTGGGGGACGAAGTCGGAGACAGGAAGGATTGGCAAGATCCACTCCCCATGCAATGTGGGGGGTTCAAGTGAACTGCCGGCGTGCCGATCTTCATCCTTCGTGTCTCCTAGGTCTGTTCTAAGGCCAGACGGAAAGGATAATGCGGGGAAGCAGTGTCGACTTGATTGAATACACCACCGGCATTCGGCCGCCTGAGAGCTGGGTCTCTGGCCAGGCTCGATAGCTGTTGGGGCATTGCATCCCGAGTCCGACAAGAACTCCTTGCCGTCCATCATCTCGTCCATCCGTCGCTTCAAGCCTTGCACAATCACGAAAAGCCGTCATCATGGCATCAGAACAGCACAGGAAACAGCTGGAAGAGCGATTCGCTGCGAAACTCGGCCCTGAAGCGCTCCACGAGGGCTGGAGCTCCCTCCTCAGACTCGACCCTGAATTCTTCAATGCCAGTGTATCTCTCGCCTCCGTGCCGCGCCAAAAGTCCCATCTCTCACGCAAAGATCAAGCCCTCATTGGTCTTGCCGTCGACAGTGCTGCTACCCATCTCTACACCCCTGGAATACGCACCCACGTGGCAGCTGCAATCAAAGAGGGAGCAACTATTCACGAGGTCCTTGAAGTGATTGAGCTATCCAGTACTCTGGGCATACACGCGTGCAACATCGGCGTCCCCTTACTCGTCGAGGTCCTCAAGGAAGAGGGCAAGTACCACGACGAGATCACCAAGCCCTTTGACGAGAATCAGGAGAGGCTGAAGCAGGATTTCACGGAGAAGAGGGGCTACTGGCATACCTTTTGGGAGGACTTCCTAAGGTTGGATCCCGAATTCTTCGAGGCCTACCTAGAATTTTCGAGTGTGCCCTGGGTTAAGAACGTGCCAGGTGGTGAGGCGGGTGGGAGAGGTGCACTGTCACCAAAGCTGAAAGAGTTTGTCTACTGTGCCTTTGACTGCGCCTCGACACATCTCTATGTCCCCGGCCTCAAGTTGCATATGAGGAATGCGTTGGGTTATGGCGCAACCCCGCAAGAGATTGTGGAGGTGCTGGAGATTGCCACACTCTTGAGCATTCACACAGCGCATGTCGCAGCGCCGATCATCGAGGAGTTGGCCTCTGGAAAAAAGGCTTAGGCAGCAAATAAAGAAGTGAAGTTTGTTGACTAAGAACCCCATTTGCACGAATTACCAGTCCAAATACGAGCATCGTATGGTTATTCATGAGAGAGACAAGCCCAGTGTTGAAGGTTTCACTAAACAGACTTGTCACTTGAGGATTCAAAGAATTGTATCTCTCAATCTGAACACAGTAGAAGCTTAAGATTCAATGGAAAGGGTGGCATGGGTAATCTGCTACCGAACTTGATAAGCTATTATGCTATCTATAAAATGCCAGCATAGCCATGGAAGCTCGGTATGATGGAATGCTTGAGCTTTGCAACACTCCAAGTCCAGAACAATCCTGATTACCTGGCTGGAGTTAGGAACCAGATGTGGACAAGCTATCCTACCTAATATTTGCCCATATGGTTCTATCTGTTTCTGTTTCCCATAGCTCGACCACCATTCCTCAACTAGATCTGGTATTTGAAGTCTGGTGCTCGGTCAGTGTACTCCTCTGCGGGCACCACAACCCCTTCAGCCAGTGCCTGTTCCTTTGCAGCTTGCCGACGGACGTAGATCAGTCGCACAATCCACCACCCCAGCCATGCAAAGGCCAGACAGCCGAGGGACCAAGCATGGCCCAGGGTGTAGGCAGGAGCTGCATTGCTCTGGTAGATTTGACCAGAAACAATCCCTCCGATGTTTGTCAAGGTCAGGAGAATTCCCAAGCTGGCGGCACGCTTGCCATCCGGCGCACAGTTGCAGGAGAGCCAGGCACTAAGTGTGGCACCATCTTGTTAGTAAACCCGATTCCTGAGAAGGGCCCGCAGGAGCGCCGAGATTTAGTGAGACCTGAACTTACATGTTACCGCCCGTGCAAAGGAAACAAGCAGTGGCGATGAGATACGTGGCAAAGTAGCGCACGCCAGGTGCCACGTCACAGAGCAAGATAGCGTAACCGGCGATGCCAAACGGGGCGCAGATGATCAGAGGCAGGAAGCGCTTGCAGTACTTGTCAGACAAGACGGCTCCTACAGCGTAGACGATAGCACCCCAGAGGTTGACGGGAATGACCAGATACTGCGCTTGGACGGTAGAGTAGTGGAACCCATCCTTAATGATGATTGGCAGGAACGTGCCAAAACCTGTTGCAGTTTGTCAGCTGGGATGGGTTCTCATCGAGCAATAGCCGGAGTGTGTGAACGCATACCGTAGAGGATAGTTACCACTGCGATTTGTATCACACCATGTGCCCAGCTCTTGATATCCTTGGCGGCTTCTTTGATCTCCTTCTTGCTGTAATGGCCGGAGCCGCCGCTGTAGGCCTCCATCTCCTCGGCTCGACGTCTCATGATGGCCTTGTCTGACGCATTGAGGAAGTAGGCCGTCTCATAGTTCTTGGGAACCACGAAAATGCAACATCCAGCCCAGGCTACTGTGATAATGCCCTCAATTATGTAAAGCCTTTTACATATCGTCAGCGAGGGCCCAGTATGGTCTGAGAAAGAGTCGCGTTGCACTTACCACCGCCATCCAGCCATATTAGATACTCCATCCATCTTGAGCATGGCCCAAGCCAAGAGCCCACCAAAAGCTCCAGAAAGGGCAGACGCGACTAGTCACATATTCATCAGCACCGTGACTCTCCATGTGCCCCTGCGTGGAGCACCAGATGACACTCACCAAAGAGAAAGGCAACCCGGACTGCAAGCTCTTCGCGCTTGTACCAGTTGCAGAGGAAGAGTGTCATAGAAGGAAAGAGACATCCTTCGAAAAAGCCAAGCAAGACTCGGCAGACGACAAGAGGGCCAAAAGAATGAACGAAACCAGTGCAGAGGCAGACGATACCCCAGCAGAAGGTGATTGTTGGGATCACGCGGTTGAACTGCAGGCGCTTGACCAGGATTGACGTGGGAAACTCGGCAAGGATATAGAAGATGTAGAAGACTGAGATGGCAGTCTAGAGGTGACCGGTCAGCAACATGTATGTCTCTACGAAGAGGGACGGGGATACTTACATTCAGCTCAGATCCCTTCAGGTTGATATCCTTCGTCATGCCCTGTGTTGCGGCGAAACCAATGTTGCCACGGTCGAGATAGCTGATGAGCATGAGGAGCATCATGACAGGGGCGATGAAGCAGTCCAGCTTGCGGACGAGCGCCTTCTCCCTTTTGCGCCAGTCTGCATCTTCAGTGCTTCCGCGTTCGAAGTCACTGGGTTGCGTGAACTCTTGGAGGTCTGTATCCGCTTTCTGCATGGAGATTCGAGACGACATGATTCTGAACAAGGAGGACACCCATTGGGGTCATTGATGATTGCAGAGATCCTGTGCTACGAGACTGGGATCAAAACCTCGCCTGTGATGAGGTCGATGGACTCATGATATAGGAGCATGAGGTGCATTTCCCGACATTTGGGGTAAACAGGGGCGTACGACAGTGCTGACGGACCACCACAGGGAGCTAAAGCCATTCTGGATGATCTCACACCGAGACTGGCGGGCTCAAAGGAGGCATGTTGTGCCGTGCCTGTGCCACCTCCACATGCGGGGGAAGATTTGGGTGTGGGGAGGCCCCTGTCCTGGGTGCGTATGGTATGGAGTCACTTTGGATTACAGGCTTCTTGGCACTCTTGGGGCCCAGGATTCGGGGAAAGACGCCAGGACTTCTCCACGCTTCTCTCCACCCTCAGTCGAGGTGTAGTCCCATGGGCCAGAGATGTGGCCATCCATGAGGGGAAAGAGATTGCCATGGACGGCGGCGTGTACAAGTAGGGCCATGGCGGGGACGCAACCGATGATCGGACAACCAGAACCCGTACCACCTAGATATATATTGGCACAGCACCGAGGAGAGTCTAGTCTTGCTACCTTGGGCGCTATTTCATCCCTCTTTCCCCTCTCGCCGAGTACAAGACACAGAGCCAGCAACACCGGACAAGGCAGACCGACATCCGGCCGGATATATCACAACCTATCCATCTCGCACCACTTGACACATCTCGTCTCGAGTCCAGACAATATGAGCACCGATCCTAAGCTGAACGACCTGCACAAGCAGCTGTTCGATGCGGGGCTCGCTATGCGACGCAGCGTCGTCGGCGATGCCTACGTGGACCGCGCACTTGCCAATGGCTCAACAGAATTCTCGCGACCGGGCCAGGAGCTCGTGACTGAGTGGTGCTGGGGCTACGCATGGACACGGCCGGGCTTGGAGAAGAAACAGCGCAGCTTGCTCAACATTGGCATGCTCATGGCGCTCAACCGCGCCCCGGAGCTAGCGGTACATGTCCGCGGGGCGCGCAACAATGGGCTTACGGAAACAGAGATCCGCGAGGCCATTCTGCACTGCACGACATACTGCGGCGTGCCTGCGGGAGTGGACGCGATGAAGATTGCAGAGCGGGTGCTGGACGAGATGGCCGAGAAGGGCGAGAAGCCGCGCGAGCTGGGGAACAAGTCGGCAGCAGCTTGAGTTAGCTAGTTACACAATAGGAGAGGAATGCACTGGGAAGACTGAAAATATCGAAAGAGAGAGAAAAAAACAAAGTAAACCAGAATGTAAAGAGCCATCTCTCGCCGCTGGGCTTCCCCTGTTGGGCGGCTTCGGCCAGCGACCGGCTGTGTTTTGTCCGACCCCTCCCCACACGTCGATGGATCTCCGCCCCGTACCTATTCTCTCGCTAGCCCACCATTTCTCCATTTGACATGGCCCGGGAAACCAGACGCCAAGCGTGGGATCAGTGAGGGGCGAGAACCCAACCCCATGCCGGCCGGCCCATGAAAACCAAGTGACGGCCTGATCTTCTGTCTGACGAGCATGGGTTCGCTGCGAGCTGTGCCTTGCCCAACCGCTTCCGCAATATCCGCACGCCAGATGCACGTGCCTTGCGTGATCCGTAACGCGAAGAAGCAGCCAGCACATTCAAAGAGGCATGTCATCCCCGCAGGACGGGGTTGCTGAGGAGGTTGTCGTCCAGCCGCCGCCCCGAGAAGCGAAGCGGTTCCAGTGCCCTCGCTGCCAGAGATCCTTCTCCCGACTGGAGCACCTGCAGCGCCACGACCGCACCCACACACAAGAGCGGCCCTTTGCGTGCCATCTGTGCACTTCACGTTTCACGAGAAGCGACCTGCTCATCCGACACGAGCGCCTGTCCCACAACAAGGACAAAAGGCGAGAGTCGGGCCACGCCGTGCGCCCCAGGAAATCTGCCAGGCGGCCGGAAAATGCCTCTGCCGGTAGAGAAAGCCGCGAGCAGGACCTCACGGGCGAGGTCGAGCGGTCTCAACATGAATCCGTTGAGGTGACCCAAGCCTTTGTCGATGTGACTCCCGGAGTTGGGGTGCACGAGTATCAGTCACCCCTAGAAACACTGTCACTGGCCGCAGAGCAGTCAGCTTTCCACGACGGCCTCGTCACATCGGCTCCCTCACAGCCGTTCCATGGAAACATCCCGCATGCGGCTGGCTTTGCTGCTCCGATGGCTGTCCTGGGCACAGAAGCTGCTCCGATTCTTGGCGACCTGGATGTGTCCTTCGATAGCTTTGCCGCGTTTCTGGAGACCGAAGCCCTGTCCAACAACCTTTTTCCTTCGTCCATGGCTACAAACGAGCAGCCAATGCCTCTTTTCCCCTTCGCCAACTTTCCCAATGTCAATGAGACCTACTACAACCCGGGCGTCCCCAATGTCCCGGCCTTCGCTGCTCAGACGCAGAACCCAGTCGAGGAACAGACTTCATTCTCGCGCTTCGGTTCCAGGTTGCCCTCCCTGCAACCAGAAGATGATCCCTGCAAACACGCCAGGAAGGTGTGCGACATCTCTTCCGAGGATAGAGATCTCATCCTGTCCAAAATCTCTCAGTTTCCTGGTATTGTCTCGAGATACTTCCACCTACCAACGAGAATGTCGCTGGCGCGATACATCCGTGCCTACATAGATGGCTTCCAGGAGCACCTCCCCTTCCTGCACATACCGTCGATGACGGTCGATAACTCAGCCGTGGAAGTACTCCTTGCCATGGCCGCAGTGGGTGCGCAGTACTGCTTCGAGGCCGAAAAGGGCCTAGAGCTCTTCCATGTTGCCAGGGCTATTGCTACTGAGCGAATCCGGCAGCGGGACGTCAAGATAGCCTCGGTGCATCGCAGCGTTGAGCAAGATGCCTCAGACTACTCAGTCACCTCGGCTGTCAGCAGCCCGGCTCTGACGCATCCGTTGAACGGTCCTCTCGGGCTACCTTCTGACCCTGGCAGTGCTGCAACAACCACGTCCGCCCCTGCTGACGATCTGATGCAGTCGGCGCAAGCTCTTCTCATCCTCATGGCCATGGCCACCTGGGCGAAGCATAAGGAAATCCTCCGGGAGGCTCTGTCTATACAGAGTGTCTTGGCAAGCATTGTTCGCGATGATGGTCTGCGCATCCCCCAATCTGACGACCAGCGATGTCAATCCTGGGAGGAGTGGGCTCGACAAGAGACAGTCTTGAGGACCAAGTACATTGTATTTTGCTTCTTCAATCTACATAGCATCGTCTACGATATCCCGCCCCTTCTACTCAACTCCGAGATTGATATGGTACTTCCGAGCGGCTCTGCCGAGTTCAAAGCCGGCTCCGCGACCAGGTGGGAGGAAGCGATGGCGCGGGCCGACAAGCCATGCCTTTTCCAAGACGCGCTTCGGTGGCTATTCACCTCGGACGACAATCAATACATGCTCGGATGTCACTCCTCTCTCGGGAACTACGTCTTGATACATGCCATTATTCAACACATCTTTATGGTTCGTCAGACGGCACGCTGCCGCTTTGTGTCCCCCGAACTCGAAGTCGACGATGTTGCGCCGCTTGAGCAGGCCCTTCGGAGATGGCAATTAAGTTGGAAGAGCAGCCCCGAATCGTCCATCGACCCCGTTGACCCCAATGGGCCCGTCGCGTTCAACTCGACGGCTTTGCTCCGCCTTGCCTACATCCGGCTCAACATGGACACTGGGCCGGGGAGGGCCCTGGGCACACGAGATCCTGTGCAGATTGCGCACGCACTGCGAGATATGCCGGCCATCCGACGAACACCAAAGCTCGTGCGCGCTCTGCTGCACTCGGCTCACGCCCTCAGCATACCCGTCAAGATCGGTGTGAGGCTTGTGGCAAAGACACAGGCGTTCATTTGGTCGATACAGCATTCCCTATGCTCCCTCGAGTGTGCCTTGGTGCTCAGCAAATGGCTCGAGGCTGTGGGCAATCCCAACCCTCCTATTTCAGACGACGAAAGAAAGATTCTGTCTATTGTCAAGACTATGCTAGATGAGACAGAATTCGGCGTTCCGCCTGGCAGCTCCATCGACTCACCCGAGACAGCTCAGGCTCTCAATGCAGGCGTATTGCGGGTGTGGGCTACCGTTTTCAAAGGGGCACAGACGTGGGCCATAGTAGATGTGGTGGGCAGCGCGCTCAACATCTACGCCGATATGCTTGAGGCCACCTAGATCGCGTCTGGAAGGGACATGTCGATGACGAGTTTCCCACCCTCCCCCTTGTGATACTCGGCCACCAGGTCATTCAAGCCCGATAGTGGGAACGTCTTGACGCTGGCCGACACCTTGTGGCGCGCGGCAAACTCGAGCATTTCCCTGAGAATCTTATTGCTGCCGACAAGGCTGCCAACAACGGAGATGTCCCGAAAGACCAGGTCCCTGGCCGATAAGTGGAATCCCGCCTCCGGGAACGACACGACGACGCACTTTCCGTGATTCCGGAGGAGACCGACGCCATAGTCGAATGCTCTCTGGCTCTCTGGCAGGATGATAACGGCATCGACGCCCATGTCTCCCCTGTCCTGCTTTCCATCTTGCGCACCGAGCTGAGCCACGATGTCGGCAGCCTCCTCGGTTCTCGCATCTACTATCCTGGCAGTCTTGGCTGCTTCCCTAGCTAGCCGCAGAGGTGCGTCGGCAGCATCAACTCCGATGACCTCAAGTCCCATAGCCTCTGCGAACTGCAACCCTAGATGCCCCAGTCCACCACCACAGCCCATGATCACGACACGCTGGCGTGGCTGTAAGTGGCATCGCTTGAGGGCCGCGTAGATCGTGACACCGGCGCACATGAGCGCGGCTGCGTCGGTCGCGCGCATGGCATCCGGCAGAGGGGCCACCTGGCGTGCATCCACCACGGCATACTCACGAAACCCCCCGGGACCACTGATGCCGTTATTGAGAGAATGTGAACAGTACACCGAGTAGCCCGGGGGGTCTGCGTCTGGATCTGACGGGGTCGGTCCGGCAACGCACTCTGAGCATATTCCACAAGGGCGAAAGGCCCGGCCGGGAACACCAACACGGGTGCCTGGCTCAAGTCTTGGCCCCGAAGAGGACGACGCGGAAGGGTGAGTGGCGATGACAGTGCCGGCGAACTCGTGGCAGCCGACGTGGGGGAAGGAAGGCGGATTGGGCGCCATCTGCCCTGACGCCAGTACGGCATCGGTGTGGCAGTAAGAAGCGGCATCCACCTTGATGAGGATGTCGTGCTGTTGTTCTAGCGAGGGTACGGGAACCGTGCGTAGTATATATGGCGTGTTAAAGGCATCGAGATGCTGGGCACGCATCTCGCGTGGGGGAGTTGTGATTGTGTTTGTCTGTGTCATGATAGGCAGACACTATATTGATCGAGGAAAGCCGCGAGTCTTATTCTCGTATTGCTGTCTATGTGAAATTCGTGATCTGGATGGCGTAAAGTAAATAGTCCGGATGCCATCTATCGTTATTTCATCAACGAGATTTCGGGCGGAGAGGACCGAGAGTCAGTAGTGTATATTATCTGCGGCGAGTGAGAAACTGCCGATCTTGGATCGATATTCCCCTCTCACACAAGCCCGAGACCCAAGGACCACTGACTAACTACCTAGGTACACTCTCGAGATTCCCCGCATGGACTGCCACACGGCCAAAGCCCCCTCACCTAGAATGCCACACCCCACGTGGAAGGTTAATATACTGCCTTTCCGTTGTTAAATCTGACACGCAGATATACATACCTAAAATGGAACGACGGCCAACTAACAGAACATTAAATGCGCTTGATCTGTGATCTGACCCGATACTACTCACCGAAACCTATCAAGCTTACCATCTCTCCATCGTAACTATCATGGCCGGCCCCGGCGAACCCGTCTATGTCACCGTATCAGCTCTCGATGCTGGGCACCTTACTTTGCCCGAGCGACTCTTTGTCACGGACGCAGATCCAGACAAGCGCAGCACCGTCCCGTCTCTTTCGTTTCTCATCCAGCACCCGTCCTCCCCAGCATCCCGACCACAAAGGTCCGTGACGAATCTAGTCTTCGACCTGGGTGTCAAGCGAGACATCACCGGCTATACCCCCGCGCAACAGGAACATATCGCACAGCGGCAGCCTGTGACGACGGACCCGGACTGTGCTGCGAGCCTGCGTTACGGTGCCGGGGGCTCCACAGACTCGGGCAAAGTGCTGCTCGATCCACAAAGGGATATCGACGTGGTCATACTAAGGTATACCTAAAGTCCCTTCTACTCTAGTAATTCCTTTACTAAGACAAAAAGCCACGTCCACTGGGACCATGTCGGCACGCCCTCTGATTTTGGCAGCGCCGCTTTTGCCGTTGGCTCAGGGACATTGGACCTGCTTGCCCGAGGCGCCGGCCCGCTGTATCCGGCCGAACTCTTCAACGCTGACGAGATCCCGGCGTCGCGGACGGTCGAGTTCCCAGCTGTACCGCGGAGGGCCGCTGGCTACACGGAACCTCAGCACACCCCCGCCGCGCCAGACGCGCTCGCTCGCCTCCCGGCGTCGGCACGGCATTGGTCCTGGAAGCCGCTGGCGGATGCGTTTCCCTCCACCCTCGACTTTTTCGGCGACGGCAGCCTCCTGATCATTGACACGCCCGGGCACTTATACGGTCACGTCAATCTGCTCGCGCGTGTCGCCGAGCACCGGTACGTGTACCTTGGCGGCGACTGCTGCCACGATCCGCGGATCCTTCGTGGGGAAAGGGGCATCGCCGAGTACGACGACGGTCGGGGCGGCACCCGCAGCGTGCATGTACACACGGCAGAGGCACGCCGGGCTCTAGATGACATCGCCAAGTTTGTAAAGGCGCGTGGAGGCCGGGATCAAGTCGAGGTCGTGGTGGCACATGATGGAGAATGGAGAGAGCGAAATAGGACAAGATTCTGGCCTGGGAGACTATAATGATTCTATGTTTCGTTCTAACTAGACAAACCTAAAGAGGCAATTGGATGATTATGAAACCGACCCGTGCTGTCCTTGTTTTCAGCTTACGCATGTGTTGTGATGCCTGGCAATATTTCCTGCATATGACATCGAAATGTCAAGAATGAGATCAAACTCGCCATGGTGCCTTTCTGTAGCACATTCTCGAAAGGACTTAGCTTGTCTGACAATAATGCCTCCCCGGGTCATGACGGAGCTGTTGACGACACGACTATTGAAGCCATGTGGGGGTTGTACTTGGGTGTTGGTTCCTTGCTGTTGATGTTCCGTTTCCCCTCAACAGTCTCCCCCCACATGAGTTTCCACCCACATCAGCTCGGCAGACATACACATTTACCCCAATACACTCCGACGCGGGGACTTCTCCGGCGGACGGAAACTGCAAGCACGACATGGCTGCACTCAGTTGCGGGGTCTAAACTTCTTGAGAACCTCCCGGTCGGCCTAGCAGGGTGCGACTCCGTGTAATTACAAGAGCAAATACTTTCATACAGTTTGATGACAATAGCTCGAATGCCTCGCTATCCCTAACTTGCTCTCTAAGTTCCATCATGGCCTCCTCCGCAGCAAATACGGTTGCCTTTATAGGTATGAACGGTTGAAAAGACGGAGCTGGCATATGTACTTAAGCCGAGACTGATTCTCCCCCCCATAGGCATTGGTGTCATGGGCTATCCCATGGCCAAAAACCTCCGCGCCGGCTTGAGCTCTGACAAGACGCTGCTCATCTGCGATGTGAGCCCTGAAGCCATCGAGCGCTTCAAATCGGAAACGGCGGGCCAGGGACCGGTCGGTGTGGTAAAGAACGGCTTCGAGGCGGCAAAAGCGGCGGTAAGCACGACATGCGCTTTACAAAAGCCATTTACACCGAGCGACCACTAGACTAACAAAAACGGCCCTGTAATCGCAGAATACCGTCATCACAATGCTTCCTGGATCCGATGCTGTGAAGGCAGTCTACCTCGACCCGCAGACTGGGGTTTTGGCCGGCGTGGTCGCTGCCGGCACCCCTGAAGAGCACAAGCTGCTCATGGAGTGCGGCACGATCGAGTCAGACACCATTCTCGCCGTGGCAAAAGCCTCTCAGTCCACGCAGCTGCCGGCCGAGGCCCTCACATTTGTCGACGCGCCGGTATCTGGAGGGCCCATGGGTGCCCAAGCAGGAAATCTGACCTTCATGGTGGGGTGCGCGCCTTCGGCCTCGGACCGCGTGTTCCCCCTTGTCAAGGACCACCTACGCCACATGGGCTCGGAAGAGGGCATATTCCTCTGCGGCGACGTCGGTGCAGGTACCGCATTCAAGGTGATCAACAACTACCTGAGCGCCATCACGTCGCTCGCGGCGAGCGAGGCCCTCAATATCGGCGTCAAGGCCGGCCTCGACCCCAAGCTGCTGACCGACGTCATCAATGTCAGCGGCGGCCAGTGCTGGGTGACGAGCAAGAGTAACCCGGTTCCTGGCGTGCAGGCGAACGTGCCGAGCAGCAGGGGGTACGAGGGCGGATTCCGCATCGAGCTGTGCGCCAAGGTGCTTGGTATGGGCAGGCGGTTGGCCGAAATGGTGGGTGCACGCACGGTTCTGGCTGCACCAACCCTTGATGCGTTTGCCGAGGCGATTGCAGATGAGCGGTACCGTGGCAAGGATGCCAGGGTAGTGTACAAGTGGCTCAATGAGAGCGAGATATCTAAATAGCTGGCTGGCCCAGAACATTACCTTTGCATGTAGTCTCGGTTCAGCCTACATTCTGGAGTTTACCTCATGTCTTGTCTCTATTATGTTTGTCTTTATGTGACTTAAACGACATGACATATATCTGCCGTGAGAGCATCGAGGACTGCTTGAGCGGACTCGAACTCACACTCCCAACATTTTCTGATAACCTCGCCGTATGGAATGCCGTCAACTGATGGGAAATGCTTCTGCGAATACCTGACCTCTACCTCTTCATCATGAAGGTCCCCGTAAGGTTTCCTTCTTGTGATGATGTGATAGATGCTCGATCCAAGGGCAAATAGATCGGTTGAAGTACTACACGGCATGTCATCCGCATATTTCGAGCCAAGAAATATCGGGTGCTTTCCAGTGACAGAGGTGGCTTCCCGTCAACAGATGCTCCTGCTAGGTCAATGGTCCGCAACCCCAGACTATCATCCAGAAGCATGTTTTCCGGTCTGATATCATCGTGGATGATGCCATGCGAATACAGAAGCAGTACGGCCTCTGCCGCTTCAATCCCCCATTGCAGCCTTTGAGGTAGCATGATCTCATCGTGCGACTCGAGAAACACCTCCAGATTACCATTGGGCATGTATTCAAGTATAAGGCTTCCATCCTCTTCGTCAGAGTCTCCGAACATGCGGATTAGGCGATCGTGAGTGGGCAGTCGTTGGTACACCTCGAGTTCGCGTTTGAGTTGCTTGCACTGCTACGCCTTGTCATAATTATGTGCTTGCTTGGGGGTGGGGCGACTTCTTCACTTTATCGCCAGAGGGAAGCAGCTCAATAATGGCTGTACTGCCAAAGGAGTTTTCTAAAGGTCATGCGTTAGGACAGGTGGCATGCGAGGACGGACTCGTCTTACGATTCTCTCCGCGATGGGGGGCGGATATGGGTATGTGAAACCGTCATCGCTACGTATTTTGGTCATTGCAACACGCCAATGTTTTACTGTACACTTAGGCGGCAATATCTGCAATCGAGGAGGTCGTGCAGCTGATATTGAATCATGTGTTGGCAGAATTCTGGACGGATGGATGGAGGCTGAAAAGGCTTGTTGGTTGGGCAGCACTCCCATCCACTGACTTCATTTAGTTGTGGGCCTGTCACCCTGATTTGCTCATGGATGGATTGCACAAGTGCTCAGATCAAGTCTAGGCAGGACAACGGGAATCGCTGAGGGCAACAACCATGGATCCCATGGGCCAAGCTATCGTCTGATGTTGGGTCTGGTATCTACCGACGACTTTTCTCATTCTACGGGCTCGAAGTAGAGACCACAAATCCTTTGTTCTATATTCTGCTCTCTAGGATAACACTCTCATTGTTGTCAAGATTATCTTGAACTCTCCTCCACTGACTCTTCTTGCTCGCACGTCCCTCGAGGCTAGCATCTGCAGCGCTCACACTGTAGACAGGCTTAATCATCGGGCCCAACAATGGGTTGGTACTGAAAGAGCCTGTAGTGTTGCCCGAAGCTTCTCTGAGACCTTGGTCTGACGTGCCGGCTGAAGAAGCCTCTGTGATTCCCTCTGGGTTGTCTACGTCGTCAGGGCTAGGTGGGCGGTCGACCGCGGCCATCCTTCTGACAACCTTGCCGCCCACAACGTCGATGCTGACGACCTGCCTTCTCTTCTCGAAGTCGGGACGCGCATTCCACTCCATCTCCCGGAGCAGTTTCTGTTGCCTCTTCAGCTCGCGTGCGCGTTCTTCAGGACTAGCCCAAAGGCTGCTTGACTCGGTATCAAAGTCAGCTGCCTCATCCCGGACGGTCGTACGGCGGGCGTTCTGAGCCTGAAAGTTCAAAAGCTTATCGCGATGTTCCCTGGCTTTGGCCTCCGCAAGGCTGGCATCCTGTTCGGACTTGGGCTTCGTGAACGGCCGTGGTGTTGATAATACTTCGGGACGGCGGTGAGCTTGGCGGTCGGCGGCCATGCGCTCTCGGCCCCGCTCGGCACGTAGCTCCTTGATCATGGCCTGCACCTCCTCTTGGGAAAGGAGAGCGCTGCCACAAAAGGTGCATGGGCCGAGCCCCTCTTTGGCACATACGACCTTGCCACAGGAGAGACAATTGGGAGCAGCCGACTGGAGAGGATGACGTGCAGCGACGCAGTTGCAACGGCGGGCATTCGTGGCGTCTGTGTCATTCACGCTGGGGTTGGTGGTGATTTCAAGGGAGCGGATGGCGGCGTCGAGGTCGGCGAGAGCTGTCGAAGCCCCGTGCATAGCAGTTCCGCCGGTGATGGAGACCTTGGCCACAGTGCTAGGCTTGTTGGAGGACTTCTGCCGGGTGGAAGGCGGCGCAAGAAGGTCGGAGGTGAGAGTGCCTGCCGCAGAAGGAGGCAGCTTGGGTGCTGGGCCGGCCTGGGCTCTGGATGGAGGAGCGGCTGGAGCTGCAACCGGAGCAACTGAGGGCGTCGAGGGTCTAGCCGAGACATACTCGTCTTGTCTATCCTTTTTGCTGTACGCGACGCCAGGCGCGGAGCTAGTGTCGACTAGTTGTCGAGGGGGAGGAGCATGGAGTGGTCGCTTCTTCTTCTTTTGATGCTTTGCAGGCTTCGGAACCGCATCCGCACCGGCCTGTGAGGAAGCTCGCGTTTCCGCTCCCGCAGCGCCCACGGTAGTCTGAGAAGACGATGCTGAGCTCACGACGGGCTCGCGTCTGCGCGAATTGAATGCCGCGATGAACTCTATGGCTTGGGGTGTGTCTCCGAGCAGGTTCTTGAAGTGATCAGCGGCCTCGAGCTTGGACAGGCTGGAGGCATACTCCAGAACCTGAGCCAGGTCAGCATCGGGGAGGTCGATGAGCCGTCCGAGCTGATTGATTGACATGGTCGGCTTCCTTAGTGCGTGCTCGTCTTTGCAGTGGCGATGTTGTCTGAGTACTGGAAGCCCCGCGACGAAGCTATCTAAAGGAACCGAGAGAGTGATGCCGGGCAGTTGGGTCGTGACACATTCATCCAGCAGATTGCGCTGACGGCGGTGTTGATGAAGCAAACATCAAAGAAACATCAAAATGTAAGAGTGCGGGACCAAACATGACGCATTCACCGAGCGAGGACCCCACAATTTTGTTGCAGGTTTGACTCCACGAACTAACGAGATAACTAATTACTGCAAGGTCGCTACAGAATTCGCTGCAGATCGCTCGCCCAAGCAAGAATTGGATGAGGTGCTGGACTACAGGCGTTGAGTCAATGTGCTTGATTTTGTCTGAAACTTTGGGTTGCCTGGAAGAAAAGCGTCCACGCAAACGCGGAAATTTACCGCCGTTCTTCTTTTACCCGCAGAGCCGGTACCTGCATGAACAAATATACCGGCCGAGTAGGTAGCTCATGCTGGATATTGTCTAGTATATATAATATACCATTTAAAGGTTATAGCAGCTATCAAATAGGCGAGGACCCTACGAATGACGTTGTAGGCATCTCCAATACCAGTGCAGACCAATCTCAGTCTGTTGTCTCTGTGGGGGCTGCAATATCCAGATACTGCCAGCTCCCTCGGTCACTCTTCTACGACCTATGCCTCTTCATGGCATCCAAGAACCGAGTGGCCCCATGTAATTTGGTGATATTGTTTCTGGCTGCCATACATGGCAGTATGGGTTCCACACTCGCGGAGCAGTCATGCCGCACGCAGGTGACTGTTTTCCCGGCACACCCAAGGGCTCACAATGAAGCTCCATGCAGGCTATGAGCTTACCGGCCGGGATGTATATGTACTGTCTGTCAAACGCCCATTAAAGGCACTGAAGCAGCAGACTGGTATATAGAGATTCGATCCGGATCCTCTCTGCACCCTGTCATTGTCCCTCGTATCAAGATCAAGCTCTCAAACAAAGTAGTTGCATGTAAGACAGCAGTCGTTTACGCCAAACATGCTCTCACCAGCTCATAAAGTTCTGCTGGGTGTGGTTGCATATGCCGGGATAACTACCGCTCAACAGCCAGGTAAACTGACGCCTGAAGTACATCCCAAGCTGCCGACATGGGAGTGCACTGTCGAAGGTGGTTGCGTCCAGAAGAACACGTCGATTGTGCTGGACTCGGACTACCGCTGGCTTCATACCGTGAACGGTACCCAGAACTGCAAGACAAGCGGACTGGACAAGACGCTGTGCCCGGATGCCAAGACGTGCGCCGCCAACTGCGCCTTGGAGGGTGTCGACTATGGCTCGTCTGGTATCCTGACCAACGGGAGCGAGCTGACCTTGAGCCTGTTCGTCAACAGAACTGAAGGGCTCAGCATGTCCTCCCCTCGAGTCTACCTCCTCGCCAACGACTCCACGTACGACATGTTCTCTCTGCTGAACAGGGAGCTAACCTTTGACGTGGATCTGAGCAAGCTGCCCTGCGGCACCAATGGAGCTCTTTATCTGAGCGAGATGATCGCGGACGGAGGCAAGGGCGAGCTCAACCCTGCGGGAGCGACTTACGGGACTGGGTACTGCGATGCCCAATGTCCGTCCCCGCCGTTTATCAATGGCGAGGTGAGCTATTCCATGACCCCTTGCCTTCACCCTTCCCGGGCCTAGATTCCATATTAGCATGCCATCCACCTGGTTGTGTAGTGTCGCTAATGAGACCGCTCCTTCCAGGCCAACATCGAGGGCATGGGCTCCTGTTGCAACGAGATGGATATTTGGGAGGCAAACAGCCGGGCCACGGCCTTTACGCCGCATCCTTGCAACATCAGTCAGGTATACAAGTGCAGCGGCGCTCTCTGTGGCAACGCAGACCGGTTCGCGGGTGTCTGTGACAAGGACGGCTGCGACTACAACCCATACCGGCTCGGTGCCCAGTCCTTCTACCAGCCCAACGCCACGGTCGACACCAACCGGACCTTTACGGTCGTGACGCAGTTCCTGACCAACACGGGCGACGCGACGGGGGAACTGCGCGAGATCCGGCGTCTGTACGTGCAGGATGGCAAGATCATCGAGAATGCGCTGGTGCAGGTGCAAGGCATCAACAAGGGCAACAGCTTGACGGACGAGTTTTGCGAGCAGGAGAAGAAAGCGTTTGGAAACGTCAATGCCTTCGCGGCCCAGGGCGGCATGAAGGGCATGGGCGAGGCGCTTCGCCGAGGCATGGTCCTGGTCTTCTCGGTGTGGGATGATGCGGGTAGCTCCATGCACTGGCTGGACAGCACCTTTCCCGAGAATGCAGACCCCAAAAAGGATGCCGGCACCGGCCGAGGACCTTGCGCGGCCGACGTTGGCACCGCCGCCAATGTCATGAAGAATGCCCCCTGGACCAGCGTCAAGTTTTCCAACGTCAAGAGCGGCGAGATTGGCTCGACCTACAAGGTGAAATAGGACGGATGTCTCACTGCCAAAATATGTTGTCACCCCACGCGGCAAGCTGAGAAAGGTAGCTATTAGTTAGAGGTTTAGAATAAGATACCGAGGTATGCATTGAGACCGGTATCCGAGACCTATGATCCGGGACATCAATCAACTCAACATGAACCGTCTGTGGACGAGCTTCCAAGCTTGAAGGTTGAAGGTGAAGCTCCAGTGCTGCTGCACAATTAGGTAATGAAAAACGCCCAATAAAGGTAGGGTCAAAATAGTGGTTTTTTGTGGCCTAGAGAGAAAAGAGAGGAGCCGGAGCCATCGGCGAAATTAAGGGTATTAAGAGCTATTTTTAGGTGGGTCGCGCAGCCAGACCTCACAGAACGGCCGGGAGCAAGAATGCGAGACGACCCCGTCAAGCTCTCTAATAAGTTAAACCCTAATGAAAACCTAGAGATCTAGACCTAAAACAGAGAGAAAAACTATATATGCCTGGTCTTCTAAAACTTATATCCTACTGAGTTTTAATCCTTTCTATATAGTAATACTCCCTAGAATTAACTTTATAGTAAACTCTTTATGGTTCTCTATAAACTTTATAGCTATTCTATTATCTAGGTTTATATTATAGTTTATAGGTAGGAAAAGCTTTAAGTTATTAATATAGACTTTTTAAATTAGTATTCTATTATTAATATACTTAATCTAATATAATATTAGGCTTATCTTCTCTACTACTATCTTAGGTCTTAATCATACTAAAAGAAACTTATTATAATTAATACTAATCTTTACTTACTTCTTCTATATAAGATAACTAATAGATAGATTTAATACTCCTCTAATCTTTTTATTATACTTCTTAGATATCTTTAGATTTTATAGCTAAAATATATCTCTCTTCTCTATAATTAAGTTATAATAGTTAGTAATAGCTAATATATAAGATAGATCTTAAATTATATTAGAGCTCTTAGTTATAAGTGCTTCTATAATCTTAAGATCTATAACTATAGGTATCTTAATTCTATAGACTTCTAATTAAGTATTAAATATAATCTTAATTAGTATAATCCTAAGACTTAGTATATATTAAGAGTTAATATTTATAATAAGGCTGATAAGTATAGTAGTCTAGTTCTCTAATCTAATTTCATTTTATAATATAGCTTATTTTATAAGCTGGTCTTTTATAAGATAAACTATATATTTAGGTAATTCTATTAACTAGAGATATAAGATAGATCTAAATATTAAGCTAGTGCTAAACTTATTAAATAGATCTTATATAAGTAAGTTCTTAAAATAGCTCCTATTATTCTAATAGAGAACTTTAGGCTAACTAAAAATCAGGATCTAGTTATAAATCTAAGTTATAATAATAGTATATCTAGTAGTATCTAATAGTAGCTTATAAATAATAAATTAAGAAAAGTAATTAATAGCTAATAAGATATATTAGCAACTATCTTTTATAGGAGGATTAATTAGGCCTATAAAGTCTTAACCCTAAAGCTTAAATAGTATAATAGTAGAGATTTTTCTTAATAGAAATTAATAAGAATGATTTCTAAGCTATTAATATATATAGTATTTTATATATTATACTCTAATATCTATAGCTTATATTAGCTATTAGAAGTGTCCTCTAAGTTAGTAAGCTATAATAAGAGAACTATAATATCTATAATAGTTATATGTCTAGTTTAGAGTTTTACTAATATATAAACTTAAGATATATTCTAAAAGTATCTTATCTATTTTATAGAAGAATAGTTTTCTATCTATAATATAGAACTGCCTTACTTAACTCTTAATATAGATCTTATAGCGATTCTTAAGATCTTTTAGGCTGTTATCTTCTAGAAGTAGAAACTTTATAATATCTATATATTATTTTCTCTTATAGTTATAAATAAACTTAATAAAGTTAGAGAGTTAGGTATTTAATAAGAACTTCTAAGCTAGCTCTCTAAAAGACAGTACTATCTAAGTAAGATAAATACTTCTAGTTATCTACTCTAGGGAGGTAAATAAGTCTGCTAGGAGAAAGGATTTTTCTTTAGATATATACTAACTTATAACTAGATCTAAGTCTTCTAGAAGAATTAGTGCCTTAGCCTTCTTTATATCTAGATCTAACCTCTTAAAGTTATTAAAGATAAATCTATCAGTATCTCCTTATAGTAGAGGAGAGAGCTATAATATACTATTAGTAATACTAATAATCTTATTAGAGTTTAGATAATAATAGAACTTAAGATTAAAGGAATTAATTTTCTTAATAAACTTATAGACTTTATTATAGATCTTAGCTTTATTTACTATAGTCTAGATAATTAAGAGGTGATCTATATAGACTTTTACTAGATAAGGCAAGCTCTATAGAATCTAACATACTTCTACTATAGTCTTTATAATAGTAAGTATTTCTTTTTTAAGAATAGAGTATCTCTTCTTAGTATTAATATAACTAAAACTAAGAAATATATTAATCTTAATATTATTAAAAAGATTAGAAGTATATACTGTTCTAGTAGGATGATCTTTCTTTAGCTAGAAAAGAATATTATTATAACCAGTCTAGTTAGTATTAATTATAAGATATAATTATTGATTATAATCTATACTATAGATTATATTTCTTATAACTAAGTTATAAATCTATTTTACTATAACTTAGTGTTAAGTTTTCTAGACAGACTTATCTTAAGTAATCTAGATTTTCTTTATTAAAGATTTATTAGTTAAAGTGGTTGTATCTTATTTCTTAAAGAAAGCTGATTTAATCTGCTTTATAAGATCTATATATCTAGAGATATAGACTTAGAGGAATAGAGTAAGGTAGAGCATCTTACTAATCTCTTCCTAAGTCTTAGGTAGGAGCTTACTCTATAGCTTTTCCTAGTTAAGGAAATAATACTAATATTTATTAAAGGAGAAGATTTTTCTATTATAAAAAGATATGTCTATAGACTTAAGTCTAGTATAGAAGAGCTTAATCTTATTTAGAGCTAGAGGAACTGGCCTAAAAGCTACTCTAAGAAAATAGTACTTATAAAGGAAATTAAAGTGAGATTTATAAGTTAAACTTAAGAGATAGTAATTATTAATATAAACTATATAAGTATTGCTAGACTTAGAATTATAGCTAAGGATTAATAGCATCTTAATATAAGATAACTAATCTAGAAGAGATAGTAGATATCTAAAAATAAGGTTGTTAAACTAAGTATAGGTTTATATTATATACTAGAGATCTTAAGGTATTACTTAGTAGAAGTATATCCTATTAGGAGTAATAAAAGCTATCTTATATTTATTACTAGGCTTAATAGAGATTCTCTAATAACTATTCTTAATATTAGATTTAGAGAAGACCTTAAGTCTTCTTATAATAAGAGTATTAATATCCTAGTCTATAGAGTAGACTAGATATTAGAAATAAATTAATACTAAGTTTATAGGCCTGAAATTATAAACTATCTAGAACTCTCTATTTAGTTTTAGATAGAAGAGAGTTTGTGCTGCCTATTTAGAATTACTAGAAAAGATTAAATTGTTCTTCTATATCTTAGAACCTAGCTAGGCCTACTAGCAGACTTATAGATAGCTCTACCTAATCTACTTTAGATAAAATAGTTCTACTTCTTCCTAAAGAGGTATTATATACTTAATAAGGTTTATTACTTTAAGATCTTATAGTTTAGATATAAAGACATCTTTCTAAGTATAGTAAAGTAGCTTTATATAGTAGATTTTATTGTTTATCTTAGCTATCTAACTAATATAGATACTGCTGCCTTTAAACTATTTCTCTATCTATTTCTAGCTTGCTCTACTTATTTCTTAGTTTTATAGGCGATATAGTATTTTAAAGAGATCTCTCTTATAATTTAGTTTTCCTACTAAAACTAGCCTATTATTATAAGTTAGTAATCTAGTGTTTATATATTAAGGTATATTACTTAGAATACTACTAACTTCTTAGACTTCTATATAGGGAGGATATATATAATATATCTATTTATAATATATTCTTATGCTATATCTTTTATAATACTCTTATATCTAGCTAATCTATAGTAAAATTAGTAATTCTAATTATCTACTAATAGAGTGTATACTGCTATCTAGTAGTGTCTATGATTCTAGCAATCTTATAAGCTGTATAAAGTCTATATCTATATATATTCTTAAGTCTAGAGATAGTAATATAGCTCTATATAGGTATATCTAGTTATGGCTATTATATTTAGGTATATAGTCTTATATCTTAATATATAATACTATAACCTACTATATAGTAAGATGCTAGAGATGCCTAGTTATATCTTCTATATCTAGGCTTGTCTTTTCTATTTCTATATCAGTACTTATATCTATATAAGAGATATCTTAGCTTATCTTTAATTATTAAGTTATATCTTATCCTATTAGTAAGATATCTATATCTATTAAATCCTATTCTTCTATTAAGATCTTATCTTTATTATATCTTATCTTTTAGTTATAACTATCCTAGTTAGGTAAGAAGAATATCTTCTAAGAGCTACTATTCTATATATTTTAAATCTAGTAAGTTCTTATCTTATAAATAGTATTTTTTAGTAATTTAGTATAGTGAGAAGTAAGATTTTAAGAATAATAAGCTTAAGTATAATAATAATAGAGAGAGGTAAGATTAAGAGATTTAAGAATAGAAAATCTAATTTTAGTAATCAGCCTAGAATTAAGCTGACTATAGGGGTATTTTAGGATAGAGGAGAGATTAATAAGGCTGTAGGTAAATCTATTATTACTGAAAAGTAAAGAAGTTATAGATAGAGAGAGAGAGAGATCTAAGTAAGAAGAGTATGTTAAGAAATTTAATATATATAGATCTTAAGAATACTAAGAACTTATAGAAAGAGAATTAGTTAATATAGCTACTAAGATCTAGATAAGAGATTCTAAAGTTCTAAAAGGTCTTAATAGAAAGTACCCTGCCTTAGAAGATTTAGTATTACTAATAATATTTA